GTATCGGAAGACTAAGAGGCACCACTCTTGACGGTCGCATTCGCCATTGCGAAGTTCACTTTGGGCAGACTCGTCGCCATCGACACACCTGCGTCATGAATAAACTTTGTAACCGTGCCTTATTGGCGAGCTGAAACTACTCTAATGGCCGTAACTTTGCATCAGAGCAATAAACTTCAGCTAGAAGCAACTCACCAGGCACCGCACAGAATATCAGAGGATCATGCCTGTCACACATTTGAAGCACTTTCGGTATAGAACCCGACTTGTTGTCCAGTCATCATTCGTGTCCTTGTCATCCCTATGTACACACACTCGGATTTCCCAGCCAAGCCAAAGCCTTTGTAGTCTCACCGAGTGACATGCCCAAGACTTTCTCACCAATATGTTCCACCGAATATAGTTATTGAATTATGGAGTTTTAGTTTACCCACGAGGCATGAAAATGAGTGTCTTGTCGCTTGTAATTTGTCCCGTGTGTTCGCTATCTCCGAACGATTGCTGACTCAAACTGCGCAAAAACCATTTCGTCAACACAAGCTCATACAGAGTTCCTACCAGGAACGGCAAGGGGTAAACCACCACTTCCACCAGGCTTAGGGGGCGGTGTTTGGGGCTTTTGAGGGTTCTGTGGTGTCTGCGGTGCGGGATTCTGAGGCGTCTGAGGCTGCTGGGGAGGAGGAGGAGGTGCTTGCGGCTTGGGAGGTGTCTGAGGGGCAGCACCAGGCTTATTCCCATTTGTCGCACCTCCGGCGAGAGCGCCAGCCATGAGAGCTCCAGCAGGGGCAGGGGCGGGATCCTTCGGGTTGTTTGTGTTTGTGTTACCGCCCGCCTTGGGCGTTCCTCCAGCCGGAGGCTTGGGTTTTGAACCGGCCGCAATTGCGCCGGCGGGAACAGGAGCAGGTGGGACGGGTTTAGCACCTTGGTTTGGATTACCTTTGGCAGCTCCAGCAGCATTTCCTCCAGCCGCTGCAGCTCCGGCTCCAGCGGCGGCGCCGGCCTTCTTGGGATTCGCAGCAGGTGGTTTGGGCGCGCCAGCGGGTGGTTTGGACGGAGTAGCAGCGGGAGGGGCGGCGGCGGGAGGCTGGGCGGCAGGCGGAGTCGGCGGAGTGACCTTGGCCGGAGGCGGTGCCGCCTTGGCCGGAGGTGGAGTGTTGACCTTCGCCTTTGCCTTTGCCTTTGCCTTGGCGGCCTTCGCCTTCTTCTTCTTCTTCTTCTTCTTCTTTTTCTTGCCGAGGAGCTTGGCGAGTTTCTTCAGAATCTGACGCTCCTTGATGTGCGGCTCATCTTCCGCGACTAGCGCGGTCTCGGGCTGTTCTACAGCGGCGACGGCGACGGGGCCATTAATCTGCGGCACGTCCGCCTGGGCGCCCAGCTCGCTGCTGTTTGTTAGTTTCTTTGAGGAAGACATGCTAGACGAACACAATGCATGCTTACCCTAGGTCTCGTTGGACAACATCGGTCCCCGCCGGAGCACCATTGATGCCGACGAGGAGGGCCGAGGCGAGCAGGAGGGCTGGCGTGAAGTATCTCATTATAGTGAATGGTGGTATTTGCTCAACAAATGATTGGAGGTGGTGACCAAGACAAGCTTGGCGCTTGATAGGAGGGGAGTACTCGTATCTGAGGTTGCCGTTAGGGTATCGGCGTAAACTGAGGAGCCTGCCTGACCTTTCCGCAAAAGCAGTTGGCGATGAAGCTCTTCTTTAATACTCCGTTTAGTCAACAAGAGCGAGTTTGCATTCAGGCTCGAGCCCAGGGATGTGCAATGCTCGTCCAAACCTTGGAATGGCTTCCATTCTGCCAGCCGTAAGGGGTGGGTGTCGATCCATTGGCCGCGACTTCCGATTAACATTCACGGAAAGGGCGACTCGCGAGTGCCTGAAACTAGTAATCGCATCTCCAAGTCGACAACATCTAGAGTTCACGGCTCCAAGTGCCCGACCTCACGAGAGCCACGCACCGCATAGAGCCGGATCGGCGTTGGGTGGAGGATACTACCTTGCATCTGGCTCGCCTTGAGTTCTCTCAGGGTGGGAAGCATCTCCCTGCGCCGCTATTTCTCCTAACTTTCTAGGATGAAGAGACGTTTCGCTGGGGCGTTTCGTGGGTGGAGGCTCTCCTCGTCTGATGTCAGCCTTGGGCAGAATTCTGCAAGAAGACGCGAGATAGACCAACTCGTCCGATGTCGATTCGTTTCAGCGCCTCCCTTAAGATGGTGTGTCCTGGAGGCTGGCCTGGAGTATCCCTCTGCCCTTCTACGCTCTCGGCAAGCAGAGTCCTGGTCTTAAGCTTACCTATGGCGCCAAAGGGACGAGGGGGCCAGGTCGTGGAAGCCAAGGGTTGGCTGTCATCTCCTCGCGACCACATCGGCGGTTCGACTTCGCCCGAATGCAGGCTGGAAGCTTCGGGAACCTTGCCCTCTTGCGATTCCCTGGATTCTGACGATAGTTCAGCGAGTTTGTGTTAGCTTCATTTCGAGAGTGTTTTGAAAGCCTGACGGTCTAGTGCGTGGCCCGTGGTTGGTTTACATGCAGGCTGAGAGGTAAATCGTCGCTTGCCGAGAAACTCAAGTTCTCGGTCCATGCTTGAGAAAAACGTAATCCATCTCCTTGATCTGGTCCTTCATCCAAGAATCCACGTTGTGGAGAGAAGGGGGGAAAAGTGAGAATTAAGGTCAGCATAGTTAGACTAGTCCGCGGCTCTGCAGCAAAGTTTTCAGCAAACGCAATACGATGCAATCTTGCATCACGAGCCACATAGGCAAAACCGACGTCGATTTTCATGTCGTCCTTGATATCATATGGTACTATGGTACGCCAAGACTGGCGCTCTCTCACTTGGATGCCAGCGAAACGTCCTGACAGCTGGCGTGGAGAACGACGGAATCCTTTCAGACGGCAGTGGTAAAGAGCATCTCGTAGCGAACCGTGGTGCACCACAGCCCACTCAGATGACAAGATCGGGTGCTCTGCGCAACCTCATGCGAAGGAATGTTGACAGTTTGGATGGGCAAAGCGGCAGTCGCTCACGGACGTCTAGCGGCGACCAGCCGCCAGTGGATATGAGTGGCGGACGAATCTGGTGCATGAAATGGCGCGGGTAAGGTGGGCTGCCAAGCTGCCTGCTTCCCCAGCGGCGATCTCCCAGAGAGTCGGGAGTTATCCACAAGGATGGACGTCCAGCAGGTATCGTTTCATGCGCCTCTCACTTCGTAGGGCCTGCTGATAGTCGTGGAAACCAAGGTACTTGTTCAGGGGGCTGGGACGCTGGCTTTGCCGGCTCAACGGGCAGGTTACTCATTCAGAAGTTAGGGCTAACATCGTCTGAAGTGACCAGACTGAATCATGCCTAGGTGGCGTATCAGAAGACAAGACGTTATTGAGGCGGATTTGCAGGTACGATGGCTCAGCCAATAGGAGCTCCACATCGTTTTGCCTTGTGATTTCCGTGATGTCTCCTTGATAGCCTGTTGGGCGAGATTCCGCCGTTACCGCAGGCAAGGTTGCTTAGTCTGCTGGGAATATCATGCATTTGTTGTACGCTTCGGCAGTGTCAACTTGGCAAACGCGGCCTGGTCCGTTGAATGGCGGAGAGTCAACTCTTGGACGTTTCCTCGGGTTCACGCTGCAAAAGAAGCTTTCTGCGTAAGCGATGTTTGTGCAGATCTTTGAGACTCGCAACATGCAGGAACTGATGGTATGAGACTCTGTGGCGCAGGGTATGTGACGATGCTGCATAACCTGTAGAAGAGCTGTTGCAGATGGCTCTTGGCACGGTCCTATTTTTGGTCTCTCGCAGTCTTGGCCAGAACTTTAGAAAGTGTTGATTCTGCAGTCTTGACTCTCGGATTTCTTGACTGATCGTGACTGAGTAGCCAGTATGGACAGATAGGCAGAAGATAGACTTTCCAGGCTGCACCTGCGAGCCAGAACGTCAGAATCTGGATATATGATGCGTGGGCCACATGCCATGAGATTACGGAACAGGCTTGATCGGGGTATGACGAGAAGATGGATACATGAGGTGACGAATGCTTTGCCAAAGTCAGTACCGTCCGATTCGTGCTGATGGCCTCATGAAGAGAGAGAAGGGGGGGGGGGGGGGGTTTGGGGACGAGGGCGCGTCTGAGCATCGAAGCGAGGACCTTCGACTTACATCATGCACTTACATAAGCCATCTCGCTGTTCGGCCGTTCCGAGCGGGAAAACCTCTTGCCGGGAAAGTACCCAGCCGGGCTTGGCTGATAAGATAAAGATATAGAGCCGAAGATCAACCGGGAGGAGTGAAGGTGCCTCTTGTAAGCTGACATAAGCCGGAAGGACGCCGGGCAGCGGATGGAGGTACGTACATACACCCAAGTCTCCACCAGCGCAACGGGTTTTCCCCCCGCGGCCCCCCGGTGGACCGGCACCTGTTCCCCGCGCCTCTCCCCCTTCTCTCTCGTGCTTCCGTAGGATCCTCCGTGCCCCTCACTTCTCACCGGTTTTGTGGCTGCATCTCCAGCCGCTCGGTGCAACATCCCGTGCTACAACCGCTTGATCACTTCATCTTGCGGTACATTACCTTAAGCGAATGCCTTGTCAATAATTGAGGGGTATCGACGTCTGCCGGTATGACTAACACTGCGTACAAGGGGGAGAAAAGGTCCCATACCCCAATCTCACTCTCCGTACACGTCATGACTTTTGGCTCCCGGGTTCTTATCAAAATGAGCTGCCTCTCTTGGCTGGATACACCATCATTCCGCGTTGACTAAAGCTACGCGATCCCGGCCGTTTCTTATCACTCTCGCCGGGTTCCGGGCCCGTGCCGGCAGACTACTCTACGCGATGCACCTCTGCATCGAGCTAAGCATGCACGCAGAGATATCTTGGCTTGGACAGTTGTGTTTATAATGAAAGCAACCCCAGGTTGGATGATGGAGAACATGCCTCGGGATTAAGTCAACCATCTGAAGTCCAACCATCGCGGGACTTGCTCTCGCTCACTTGGGCACGATGGCAACCTATCGCCCAGTGATTATTCTCGCCCTGATCTGGCTCAAGATCTTTGGCATTGCGACCAGCTTGACGACGGGTGAGCTTGCCATCATATCAACTGTAGTCCGGTCTATTCACTGACTTGAACTGTAGTCCAGGGTGTACCGTTTCCCGGTCTGATAGATGTGACTCTCGACGAATTGGCCGAGGGCCTCGAAAACGGGCTCTTCACCAGTGTCGACCTTGTCAATGCCTATCTTGGCCGCATCAATCAAGTGAATAGTACACTCAATGTCGTGACCGAGGTGAACCCGGATGCTCTATCAATTGCCGCCGACCTGGATGCTTCGCGCGCCAACGGCACAATCAAGGGTCCGCTCCACGGCATTCCCATCCTCATCAAGAACAACATCGCGACCGCCGACCAGATGAATAACACTGCGGGCTCATGGGTCTTGCTAGGTGCCAAGGTTTCTCAAGATAGCTTCATGGCGAAGAAGCTTCGAGAGGCTGGTGCGATTATCCTCGGCAAGACCAACCTCAGCCAGTGGGCCAACTTTAGGAGCAACAATACGAGCAACGGGTGGTCCGCGTACGGAGGTCAGGTCTATGCTGCCTACTATCCCCAGCAAGATCCGAGTGGAAGTTCAAGTGGTAGTGGTGTGGCCTCAGATCTTGGCCTCGCACTTGCGGCTCTGGGCACCGAGGTACGTGATACAGCTTCATGTGCACTAGGCCATCTTTACTCACACTATTCAGACCGATGGTTCCATTGTCTCGCCCTCTCAACGTAACAATCTTGTCGGCATCAAGCCAACCGTTGGCCTGACATCCCGGCACCTGGTGATACCGATTAGTGAACATCAAGATACCATCGGACCTATGGCCCGCACCGTCAAGGATGCCGCCTACATCCTCCACGCTATCGCCGGCGCAGACCCCAACGATAACTACACGTCAGCGATACCCAACAATGGCGAGATACCAGACTACCCAGCCGCTTGCGATATGTACGGTCTGCGAGGAACTCGCATCGGGATCCCTCGTAATGCCATCGAACTCTTCTCCGACAACACCACCGGGACTGAAACCGATGCCTTTGAGGAGACCCTTGAGGTCTTCAAGGCGGCTGGTGCCGTCATTGTCGACAATGCCAACTTTACCGCCGCGGAGCAGCTAGCTACGTCAAACTCCGAAACCATCGTCCTGAACGCAGACTTCATCTCGAACTTGGCTTCCTATCTCACTGACCTCACAGTCAACCCGAACAATGTGAAGTCTCTGGCCGACGTCCGCAAATTCACGCAATCATTCGCGCTCGAGGATTACCCTGATCGTAATACGGGTGTCTGGGATGAGGCTCTTGACGAGCAAGGGTTCAACAACACCGACCCGCGATTCTGGGCCGCCTGGCAAGAGAGTGCGTTCCTTGGTGGCGAGGGCGGGCTATTTGGAACACTGGAAAGGCACAATCTCGACGCCGTCATCTTGCCGACAAGCTTCTCTAGCACCTGGGCCGCTATCGTCGGAGCACCCGTGATTACCGTTCCCCTGGGTTTCTATCCCGCGAATGCCACGGTGATCAAGAATAGGAGGGGTAACCTCGTTGATACTGGTCCCCATGTCCCGTAAGTAGACCGTACGTTTAACTGCTTGTCGAATACTAACTGGTCATAGATTTGGTATCAGCTTCCTCGGCGCAAAGTTCTCCGAAGCAAAGCTCATCAGCCTGGCCTATGCTTATGAGCAGAGGACCAAGACGAGGGACAAGATCCAACCATACATCACGCCTAATGTCGAGATTGGTGACTTTGCTGGGTATTAGTGGCCGTTGCAATCGCTTTATATAGGAATATTTCTTGCAACTGTAATTATTAAGTTTTAATTCTGCTGGTGCCCCGGACCTGTACGTCGTCGGTCACCAGCGCCTTGACTAGGTATTAATAGTTTGGCTTTTGGAGGAAATACAACAAGATTTGTACATTGCCAAAGTTCCTTCGAATAGAATGATGATCTATGGCTTTCACGACAGCTGACGAGAGGGAGATTCATCGAGATACACCCGGCTGGTTACACCCCTCAACACCAGCCGGGTTATCCGACATGGCGATACTACGTACGTCTAGGCCGTCCAGAACCCGAAACTCTATTTTTTGTCGACATCGGGAATAGCAATCCACTCTCAGTCTGCACATTAGGCTTACCAGAGCTGCTGACTAGCTTTCTGAGAGTCCCAGAACGAAAGTTACATCTCACTTAATCTTCCTGAGAGCCATTGGATGATCACAGCTCGCATGACGGATGAGTTCGCCATTCATTACTTTGTTCAGTCGCAACAATGCCTTGACTCAGTCTGCGTTGTGTCAACAGATCAATCGACCTATCAGTTCGTCCCAACATCTAAGCCGCACCTTATTTTCACATTTGACATCATCGGTTTCACTAAGACATGCGACGTCATCACCTAGCTCTGACCAGTAGCTCAATACTCTTCTTCCTCTAGCTCCGCATAACCGATTTCGTGGAGAAATACGCCAGCGCCAGCTTCCCCGCAACAGTAGGCAGGTAGTATCTTGAAGGTAATAAGAATCACCGGTTAGACACGGTGCCACGTGTTGTTGTCGGTAAAGTATCCGTATGATAGCCGGAGCAACTCAATGCACCACGGCGGTCTCCGCGGTTCTCAAGAATGAGTTTGGGTGGCGCTCAAGTAAACCCCAAGAAAGCCAAGGGATCGAAGTGGGAACACGGAGAAAGGGCCGACTCGACAGACCCGAACGCGCTGTCAGGCGATGAACACATGCAACACGCCGCCATCCCGCCACAGTGCAACATCGTCGATCATTTGCGAAGCTGGAGGATCCGGAGAAGCCTCCCATTATCAGGCCGCATTAAGCTTCCTGTCTCATCCCATCTTGCCTACCGTCTTCTCGTTGACTTACGGTAGAGACCCAGCATCTTCATTAATCTCAGTTGATATTCGTCCGGTGGGCGCAGCAAAAGCTCGCACTGACCTCCCCCCTCCCAGCATCATCGTCCCATCTCCTACTGGATCACCACACGGTCAAGACGTCGCCTCCCGGCTCCGCTAATTCCTCTCCACAACTCGCCAAATTTTTTCTTGGACGGGGCTCCAGTCCCTGAAAAGCTCGTCCTGTTCAAACCTCCCCCCTACTTCGTCACCATTCCCGTGCGCAGTGGACGGCACGGCACACAAGCCAAAAGCGAACCATGCGTCCTACTACTGCAGCAGCGCCGGGCGAGGACATGTCTGGCACCGACATGAAGTCCGAGAAGCACGGAGGAGGAGGAGGAGGGTCCGGGAACGAGATTGGGCCCGGCGGCGAGGCGGGTGTGGACCCTCCTATTCGCTCTCTTCCGCCCAAGGGCGACGAGACGGGCAAGTCGTCACGCGACAGAGAACAAGTCGTCGACACGAGCGACTTGGAGGTCGGCACCAACCAGACCGACTCGATGAGAGATGCCAAGGGCAAGGGAGCGAAAGTGGCCCGGTTCTACAGGAAGTTCAAGCTTCCGATCCACGTGTTTGTATGGATGTTGTTCACAGCGTAAGTTGAGAACCTCTCTCATGCTCTCAGATGCCCCCTTCATGGTGGCTAGTCTGGTGGCATCGGTTGACCGAAAAATCCTGGACAGATGGTGGATCGTCGGCCTCATCTTCCAGCGCGATAAGATGGGCTGGTTGAAGTCTTTCCTGGTCTATCTCGCCATCACCATACGCATCGTCACCTTGTGGCTCCCTGCCGCTGCCGTCATGGTACCGCTGCGCTTCGTCTGGAAGCACACCGTTGGCAGAGCGTACGACATGATCCCCAGCAAGCTGCACCAGCCTCTTGCTGCGCTTCTCACCATTGGCGTCTTCCTTGTCGGTTCCATGGTCCCTGAGGAAGTAGGAGAGAACACTCGTGCCAGTCGCGCCATCAGTCTCTTTGGCCTGCTTCTCATGATCGGTCTTCTCACCCTCACCTCCCGCGACTGGAGGAAGATCCCCTGGCACACTGTCATCGGCGGGATGCTCACGCAGTTCATCATAGCCGTATTCGTGCTCAAAACGGGCGTCGGCTACGACATCTTTGCCTTCATCTCCGAGATGGCCCGGACGCTTCTGGGTTTCGCAAAGCAGGGTCTCGAGTTCTTGACGTCGACTGAAGTATCTGCTCTGACCTGGTTTCTCATTTCTGTGATCCCGGCCATCATTTTCTTCATCTCGCTCGTCCAGCTGCTCTATCACTGCGGGTTCCTGCAATGGTTCATCAAGAAGTTTGCCGTCTTCTTCTTCTGGTCGCTTCGTGTCTCAGGCGCCGAGGCCGTGGTGGCGACGGCAACCCCTTTCGTCGGGCAAGGTGAATCGGCAATGCTCATCAAGCCGTTCGTGCCGTACCTTACGCTGGCCGAGATCCATCAGGTCATGACCTGTGGCTTTGCTACTATCGCGGGATCCGTGCTGGTTGGTTACATTGGCCTCGGCCTCGACGCACAAGTTCTTGTCTCGTCATGCGTCATGTCTATTCCAGCAAGTATTGCGGTATCAAAGCTTCGCTACCCAGAGACAGAGGAAAGCATCACTCGCGGTAGCATCACAGTTCCGGATGACGAGGAAAAGGCTGCCAACGCCATCCACGCCTTTGCTAATGGAGCTTGGTTCGGTATCAAGGTGGCCGGCATGATCGTCGCCACTCTCCTCTGCATCATCTCCTTCGTCGCCCTCATCAACGGCATCCTCGGCTGGTTTGGCAAGTTCTTGGGCATCGACGATCCCCCATTGACCCTTCAACTTGTCCTGGGCTACGTCTTTTACCCCGTCGCTTGGTGTCTGGGTGTGCCCAAGAAGGACCTACTCACAGTGGGAGAGCTCATTGGAATCAAGATCATCACCAACGAATACGTTGCTTTCAACTCTCTGTCGAGCAAGGTCGAACCTTACATCTCCATGTCACCTCGATCCAAGCTCATCGCAACCTATGCCTGCTGCGTAAGTTAACTTTTGACAGAGTCGCAACCCTACGTAGAGTAGAAGACTGATCAGAAATCGCAGGGCTTTGGCAACATTGGTTCACTGGGAACTCAGATCGGTGTTCTTTCACAGATTGCTCCCGGACGCGCCGGAGATGTGTCACGAGTCGCCTTGTCTGCCCTGTTCGCCGGCGTACTTTCAACCCTCACGTCGGCGAGCGTCGCTGGCATGTTGTACACTGGCTAGCTTCGGGATAGAGGCTAAGGCTTAGGCCACGACAATAGAATCATATTACATTGTATCATATGTAACAATAGCGGTAGGAAGATTATCTGCCGTGACATGATACTCCCTGCCAGATGCGAAGCCATCCGTTCTTTCTTCACGTGCCAGACGAGTGCAGCATGCAAACATGACCGCTCGTACTTCAACAGTCTGCGGATCTAGTCTGGGCATGCTACGCTACTGAGGCTGAGTCGATCGCATCGCAATTGAACTCAGGCCACCCACTTGTCGGGGGTCTGCGGGAGCCGCCGGACCACCTGAATGCTAACCGCAGTGCTCTGAGAGAGCCGACATGTCCCCTTCGGCATGAGCAACTAACTTTCCTCAGCTGACCGGCAACGGAACTGACCGTAAGAGCAATGACGCTCATGAGAGAGCCGTACCCGTCCTGCATGCCGTTAACAAACCTTGTATTTCGCAACGTGTCCCGTTGGGCGTCGCAGTCAAGACATTCATCTAGGCTGACTTCAGCTGGCGTTTTCAGCCTCCCTCCCGATAAGGCGGCGGCGGCCGAGGCTGATCTCTTGACCGCTGTATCTTGTACTCTACTCTAGGGATTAGAGACCATCCGTTTCCCTACGGAAAACAAGACTTCCCGTGTCTCAATCAGCGAGGACTGTGACACCAGAACGCTCTGCGCAGTATCTGTCAAAATTGTCTCCTCACTGCTCCGGAATCAAGAGAGAACCATAATAGCCTTGGCCTCCGGTTCATCCATTGAACCCCTCCCTCGCTACCTTACCCCATACCCCAGGTTAATCAAGACAGCCAAGAGACGGATTCACGAATCTCCCCGCCATTTCACGTAATAGAATCTCTCTTTCACAGATGGCACAATAAGTCTGATCGTTGGGCGGCCTGGGTGTTTGCGGGAGAGAAGAATGGCGTCAACAGAGGTTCCGCTAGAATGCCAACCTCTTACGAGAAATTTACTCCATAGTACCAATCCATTACCCCATCGCTTCCTTTTCCCCAACTGTGCGTTCGTCCCAAGCTTTTTCAAGAGCTGCTAAATACCTGGAGAAGGCCTGGAATTACCGAATGCACATGGGAATTTCCATATTGCACTTACTGCCCTAGTTAGTCTCATCTGGGGTCTGGTCAATTTGAAGCATCACTGATTCGTGAGACATCATGTGGAAGAGCTGGGGAAAAGTGACCCACTGCACACACAGAGATTTTGAAGGGTTATTTCCCACACTTTGGAAACTTTACGAGAGGCGCCAGGGACGAGCAACTACTCTCTCGGCGATGGCGGCCATGGAAACGCTAGAAAATGCGTAGAAGACGCCAGTGAAGGGGGATACCTAGCACCTTCAGGCACGCACAAAAACTTTGAGGTGTTGGCCGTGAGTAGCCGTCGGTGGGTGAGCAAGGGGAAAGGCAGGGAGGGTAGCATCCCGAGACTCACAATTATTTCAGGCCGCAGAGGCTGCATCGACGATCGATTCAACTGCGATGCAACAGCTACCTCGCGTCTTCGGCTACCTAACTTATGCCAGCATTGTCTATCGCGGTTATTTGAAAGCGAAAAAAACTGACCACAAAAGTTAGGTCGTTCGATAAAGGAGTTGTGAGGTCTCAACAACTCCACGGTCTTCTCGCCGTTGCGAATTCTCAGTCGGTCTCTTAGTGCAGCCTCAAGCGTGTGTTTTGCAGATTTCGGCACACAAAGCACTAGAGCAAGCCACCGGCAGACTGGTTTGCCTAGCAGGCCTAGGAGACTGTCCGAGGCGCCTAGCCGGGCCAAGGCCGAGAAGACATCAAATCCAGGCGCGCATGCGAGTCGCCGGAGCAGTGATGGGTAAAATACCGCATCTAGGGCCTCTTGGCAAAGCTGATCCGGCACAATATTCGGGTTAGGGGCGCGTTGGGAATGGCGCGATTTTGATTACTTTTCGTACTTCTGAGAACAGTGGGAAGCGCCGGAGCGGAGGCCGTTTCGATTTTCTCGGGAATGGGAGGGGGAAGAAGAAGAGAAACCAATATCAGACGCCCGCACATCGTTCCGGGGGACCATAGTTTCGACTCGCACAGTCTGTTTGGACGGTAGATGGAAGACCCGTTTCGCGGTGACGGAAGGGAATTCGTCACAAGTTGCTCCGTGGAGAGGAGACATCTTTGGACTTCAGCCTTTCAATAGCCGTTCAACTTGCTCACCGACGGTACCAAAGTCAGTATCCCTGCTCTGTCCCGCCCGCTATCCCAGATCTTGCAGCGCCAGGACAGACGTCGGGAATTAAGAGCTGGGTCCTTTTAGATGACGACGAGCCGGCCTCGAGTCGGCTGCTTGCATCTTCGACCAACGCGTGGGACCGGGACCGGGACTTGGGGACTCATGTACGGTATTCCTGCACTGCGGAGGATTGGGGACCTTGGGGGACAACGGGATGGATCACGTCTGACAGTCTGATGTCTGACTGTGTGACTGTCTATTGACTGTCTCTTGACTGGCAAGCTGGGAATACCTACCCCAAACTTGTCAAAGACGACGCGCTGATCGCCAAGCACCACAGGCTAAAGGGTCTTCCCCCAGGATGGCTGTGCACTTTGCGAGTGGGTGTCTGAGTTCAACGGCGCATCTGGCGCTGTTGGGCTTGTTTTCGTCAATCAGAGGGAAGCAGCACGATGATCCCCTTCGGTATGCGATCCGGCCGAGTGTCCCACGTTTGCGTGACGACAATCAGACATCAAATCTGCCCTGGCGCCGCCATTCCAGCGCATCGTCAGTTCACGTTGAGGTGAAGAGCGGACTGGAGTCTCATTTTCGCATCACGCATGCAGCTGAGAAGTGCTGACCTTTCCCAGTCAGCCCAGACGCCCCAGCTAGCATGTAATTACTGCGCAGAGAGTCCCGAGAAATGCAGAATGGACCTTTGGGCTGGGATGTGGGAGAGACGCTGCCGACTCTTTGGGAATAGTTCCCGCAGGACAGGACGCTCTGCCATTCGTACGACGCACTCAATGGGTGGGCAGGGGACTTGCATGCGGCCAGGTGCCCGAGCAAAAGCGACGGGGTCTCGCGGGGCTAATGCAGCCGTGGTCATTCAGTCCCGGCTCCCAAGAAACAAAACATGCTAGCAAGACTTTTCTGTCTAGGTATGCCTCTATGGCAGAGTGGCAGTACGGATAGGTAATGCTGACTGCCAGACGGGAACGTGAGCCAACTTTACGACTTGTCCAGGACAAGACATTTCCAGCCATTGACTTTGGCAGGCTTTGACAAGACGAGGCAAAGTGGCCGAACCGTCCCAAGCCATCCGAGGTCGCCCATCGGTAGTCTAAGCCAAAGTCAGCCAAGGGCGAGGATAAGCTCGGGCAAACCCATGCTCAACTTTCCCAAGTTCCCACTCCGAGGCAGGGAAGAGGAGTACAGGGGCCATGTGGAGGAGATAAGGACCTGCTTATTTGGGCCAGAGATAAACGTCTTGGCGGGGAGATTGATCCAGGCTCTGAGTGGACGAGGCAGCAGCTGGAGAAGCGATGGAGGGGGAGAGTGGCAGGGAAGATGGTGGTTGGGGCCCGTGGTGAGAGGTCTGGGAGGGATGGGTGGGAAGATGCAGCGCGTTTCTAGAACGTAAGATGGAATGCCCACGCGGACGATATGATCAATAAGCGTTATTGTCAGCGTCGCGATTAGACTTATTTAGCGACCCGCTGGTGAAGCTGAACACCTAAAAGGTTCACATAACATGTACGTATTCGTTTACTCTGTTCTGGCCTGGGCATTTGTTCCTGTGGACTCGTGGAGGGGCACATGGTGAAGGGTAGAGAATAGGAATCATGGGGCAGACTTCCTTCAACGGCGGCTCTATCCACATCCCCTCTGCCGAGCAACGGGTCGTCTGCGGGAGGTTGAGACTCCAAGAAGCAACAAGAGATTCAAGAGATGGACAAGCCGCTGGCGGTTCTTGGACACGGGCACGATGGCGCAGATGGCGCAGTGGCGCGCTTTCTAAGCTTTTGGCAGACGCAGCCACCACTTGGTGTTGAGCTGTCAGAGAGCCAGTCAGTGAACAGACGTGATGCGACGAACGGTCTATTCTTCCATGCAGTAGCAGTACCTAGATTAACATCATCGAGACTGGGCAGAGACGGCCACGCCGATATCTCTATCAGTGCCTCGTGAAGACTGGCTGTTCCCTTGCAGGGTCGACGACTCGAGGGATCCCGCTAGGCTCTCCCAGTAATACTGCCAGCCTGCTAGTACCTTAGTAAAGGTAAAATCACGCTGCCCATCAGCAGCAACAAATGCAGTACGGATACTTGGGATCGATTCAGCGAGCGAACAGCCTATCTGGGCACGAGCCATTGGCGGTGATTGGCGCGAGGGTATGAATCGTGGCTTGAGGGTGTCCCCGCAGATTGCCCGAGTAGATGGCCATCGCGTGAGCCGTCTATCTCTTGGCTCTCTGTGACTTGACGAGAGCTGGTCGAGGTGGTGGTGGTGTTGGTCGTGGTGGTTCCTGTTCTGGCGTCCTGGTCGCCGTACTCCAACTCCGTACGCCTTATCCGTGTCCGGGGCACCCACGCTGTGGGACGGAAACAGCTGAAGCCTGCATATTCGCACGCCGTCTGTGTCTCTCCCTCGCACTCTGCCTTGCGCAGTGCTAAGTTCTAGGGTAGAGAGAGAGAGAGAGAGAGAGAGAGAGAGAGAGAGAGAGAGAGAGAGAGAGAGAGAGAGAGAGAGAGAGTGAGAGAGAGAGAGTGAGAGAGGCGTACCGGGTGGCCGGGCGGATTGACTACCTCTCTCGTAGTCGGAAGACTTATAACCTGATCGTGATAGAAGGTCTGTTGATCTCCCGCTGTTGGCGATAAATCGGGAGAAAGAGGAACGATGAGGGTAAACTGAGTTTGCCCCAGAGATAAGCATCATCGCGTAAGTCCGTACGACTAGTATTACGGTGGAAATTTCGACAGTCTGTGTCAAATCTCTCGATGCAAGGCAATTCTTAAGCTGCTAGAGGGAACCACCTGGGGGATTTGCTCACTCTGCGGGCGTTGCTCTAGAATTGTTTCTTGCAACCGAAGTGGCAGAACTGGAATTTGGCACATCGACCTGCTGCGTCCGGCCGTCGAAGGAATCCCGCGCATTCGGCCATTGTCTTGGTGTTTTCTTGGTACCACCGATCGTTGCCCATCTCGAGCCAGGGTCTGTCTCGCTTGCTCAGGCACTTCGGGGCTCATCCTCCTTTGCTTGTCGCGTCTAAGCTTTCCCCAACTCTTCCTATCAGCGAGTAAGACTGGCGTGAACTGGCTTCGCGAAGGACTGGACAGCTGGGCAGTTTCTAGGCACAGCTGACTTGGAATCACGACTCATGCTCGGCGGTTGACTCCGCGTTAAGGATTGACTTTGACTGCCAAGTATCCGTATCTCTGCTTTCTTGTTCTCTTCATCTCAACTCACTGCGTAGCCCCCGCTGAAGCTATGGCTTTCCCATCACCTCCACACATCCAACTCATACTTCTCCAAACTTGCCCACCGCCACCCATCCATCTTACTGCACTGATGATGCTCGCCAAGGCTGAACGGCGTTGGACACGCAACTTTCCAGTGCCCAATCACAGCCAACAGATATTACAAACCACAACTCAACTGCCCATGCTGCCTTTGTCTTTGCTTCCTGTCCGCAAGACAAGTGAACCCTTGCCACGGCCCCCCTCCATCCACAGAATCAGCCTATCCTTGTCTTACTACGTACTGTCGTTTCCTGGCCCATTCGTACCCCGGTAGACAGGCTTTTTCTCCACCACAATTCCCCTCCCCTCACTCATCCTCCAGTCCCCTCCTCGACCAGTGCGGTACTGTAGTGTACACTACTGCTGGGCCCTGACTGAGAGACTGGACTGGCTTAACGGAGAGAATGGAGAAGCTGTCTGTGAGACACGGCCTTTACACACACATTCTCCCTCTATCTCTCCACAATCACCTGGCTAGCCTGCGAAGAACCGCGAGCGTGGTGCGGGTACCTTAGTCCCCGTAGTCTCCATTGTGGGCACGCATGTACACGCAACGTAAAAGAGATACCGAAAGATAGTGCGACCAACATCCAAAGGTAATACCAACAGTCAAAACAATGTAGAACTCCATAAGCACCATCCGTCTCCGACTACCACTCGGCGACGCCTACAGGGATCCTTGACGGGTGTATCTTAGCGCACGACGCCAGTGCCCCAGTCTTGCAGGCTCCATCAAGACCCCCAAGCAAGCTAGGCCAGGTCCAGCCCACGAACCTACGAGCGACATGGGATGTATGTGTGAGCGACAGCTATGATTCTGCCTGTCTTGCCTCGCCCGCTGGTATGGCGCCGCCGGGTGTCAGTCAAAACGGGATGCGAGCTGCTACCTATGGACGGATACCCTTCCCTCATCATATGCGGCAGCCTCTCTATCGCGCCTCCGTCCCTGGTCCCGCGAGCCGGCGCTGAAATCTTAATTAAAGAACCTCGAACCCCCCTCCCTACCTCGTTGTGTACCTCGCCCTCTCTCACTTCTCTCCCATCCCTCTCGCTCCCAGAGCTCTCACTTGTCAATCCCCCAACCTTCTGTCTTCGCCCAAATCCAGAAGTAGAGTCTCATCCCATTCTGTGTACGACGCACTCAGTCGCCACACAGCAACAATGAGCGACGGCCTTGTCAAGCGGGCGTCCTCCTCGGAGGGCGCTCACGGCGGCCACGACATCGAGAAGACGGGCTACCAAACACAGACCTACGACGACAACCTCAAGGAGAATGTCCACATTCGCGGTCTCGAGACCAGCGAAGACACGAAGTTGCACCGTGGTCTCAAGGCCCGCCACATCACCATGATTGCCATCGGTGGTGCCATCGGTACTGGTCTCATTGTCGGAACCGGCAAGGCTCTCGCCCAGGCTGGCCCCGGCTCCGTCTTCATCTCGTACACTCTCGTCGGTTTCATTGTCTTCCTCGTCATGGCTGGTCTCGGTGAGATGGCTGCTTGGCTACCCATCTCTTCTGGTTTCACTGGTTACGCCTCGAGATTCTGCGACCCCTCGCTCGGTTTTGCCCTTGGCTGGACGTAAGTCGCAATACCCCTTCCATTTCACCTCAATTCTCTCTCCGCACCAAGTGCTGACTATGATTTTGCCTTTCAGTTATTGGTTCAAGTACATTATTGTCACTCCCAACCAGCTCACAGCCGCCGCCTTGGTTATCCAGTTCTGGGTAGACCGTGAAAAGGTCAACCCCGGTGTCTTCATCGCCATCTTCCTCGTCGCCATTGTCTGCATCAACTACTTCGGTATCAGATTCTTCGGTGAATTCGAGTTCTGGCTCTCCAGTTTCAAGGTCGTCACCATTGTCGGAATCATCATCTTCTCTCTCGTCCTGGCTCTGGGCGGTGGCCCCGACCACGATCGCAAGGGATTCCGCTACTGGAAGAACCCTGGGTATGTCTAACTTACACCCTCCAAACCAACTCGTTTCCATAACTAACAACCTCCAAGTGCTTTCAGGGAGTACATCGACACTGGCGATGCCGGCCGCTTCTATGGTTTCTGGTCCTGCATGGTCAACGCCACCTTCGCCTACCTCGGTACTGAGCTTGTCGGTGTCACCGTCGCTGAGGCTCAAAACCCGCGCAAGACGATCCCCCGCGCGATCAAGCTCACCTTCTACCGTATCCTCTTCTTCTACTGCTTCAGTGTCCTCCTCATCGGCATGCTCGTTCCTTACAACTCTCCGGATCTCGCCTTCGCCAACAAAGCCCAGACCGGTGCCTCCGCCTCCCCCTTCGTCGTCGCTGCCACGCTCGCTGGTGTCAAGGTCATCCCCCACATCATCAACGCTTGCATTTGCATCTTCGTCTTCTCTGCATCCAACTCGGATCTCTACATCGCCTCCCGTACCCTCTACGGTCTTGCTTCTGACGGCTCCGCCCCTGCCATCTTCAAGCGCACTGACAAGCGTGGTGTCCCCATCTACGCCCTTGGCTTCTCCGCCATGTTCGCCCTTCTGGCTTTCATGAACGTGTCCAACGACTCCAAGGCTGTCTTTGGCTACTTCGTCAACCTCACCACCATCTTCGGTCTCTTGACCTGGATCTCGATCCTCGTCACCCACATCTGGTGGTGCAAGGCCCGCAAGGCTCAGAACATCCCCGACGAGATCCTGCCCTACGTCGCCCCCGTCGGCATCTGGGGCTCTTACGGCGCTCTGTTCCTCTGCATCATCATCGCCCTCACCAAGAACTACGATGTCTTCACTGGCGGCGACTTTGGCAAAGAGAAGTACAAGACCTTCATCACCGGCTACCTTGGCATTCCCCTCTACCTCATCCTCATCTTCGGCCACAAGTTCTACTACAAGACCCGTGGCGTCAAGCCCCACGAGGCCGACTTCTACACCGGAAAGGATATCATTGACCGCGAGGAGGAGGAGTTCCTCGCTCGCAAGGCTGCCGAGAAGGAGGCCAACGGTGGCAAGGGCGGCAAGGGAGGTTGGTTCTACAAGACCTTCCTTTCTTGGCTCTTCTAGACGCGTTGAGTGTGGTGAGAGGAAATGGGAGTTTGTGCATTTTTCATGAATATCATGTCTTGCGAATATACCATGGCGTGTTGGCCCGCCCACTAGCTACATAGATGTCAAAATCTAGACCAAAGGAATATTGTCTACTCTGCGCAAGATACCTATAACTTGACCTCTTTGCATGCTCTCTTCCGTAAAGTGATGTTGCGCTGGCAATATTTTCTCGTACAACAACGGCTTAAGAAAAGACCGTTCATCAAATCCGGTGGGGCTGCCATGAATCCACCCACGATGACTCACACTCGTCCAAGCTCCATAAATCCCAGCCTCGCCTCAACGAAGCATCTGCTTTTAAACAGGCTGCCTCAAGCACAATAGCTCAGGGGTAGAGCGCTGGGCTCATAACCCAGAGGTCCCTGGATCGAAACCAGGTTGTGCTATCACTTTTGAACTTTTGTTCCCTCGGACGATATTGCCTACTGCGAGGCCTGAGTTGGTGTTTGCAAGGCTTATGAGCTGTGCTGGCAGCATCGGCGCACGAGGTGTGTTGAGAACGATACTTCGTTTTCGGTGCGTGTAGATAGGGACTCGCGTCTTCGTTTACATAGTGCTAGTACCTTTGCCGGCGTGCCGGAACATAAGGCACGCAGCGCGTTCTGGTGGTAGAGATAGCCGCACGAGTATGGTGGTGTCCTAACGTTGTCGCGTGCTGTCCTGTTCATCGTATTCTAGCATGATTTGCGGATTACCTACTTCTGAATAAGGTACCTTCAGCAGTCACTCAGCTAGCTAAGGCACCTCACGTCGAGGATTGTCTCCAGTGCTTCGCTTGCCCAGCTGCACGAGAGGTGTCTCTTCAAAGGATACGAATGGGAGACTCATCATGAGTTCCAGCTTGAGCTCGCCGCACAAAGCCATCAAAATTTTGACTTCACCCGGAGGAAGATCAATTAGGCCATTGACAACAGCTTGGAGTCTCATGCCCACGGCTTAAAAAGTATTGCCCGAAGGATGATTCCCGAGAGGGTCGAAATAAATAACTCGATTACAATCGATAGTACTGTGCTAACAGTTGTCAGCCATTACAGGTGGTATTCGTGATATTCTCAATGAAGGTCTCAGGCATCATGTTGGGAGAGATTGTCTCTAAGGTGCCCGTGAGACTACTGACAGGTAAGCCGCCCAAGGCTGACAAGTACGCCGCAGTTGTCCGCCTGGGTCTGCTTCAACTAAGGTAGGTTGACGAGCTACCAGTATGCAGCTACTTGATCATCTCTGGAGGTTGATGAGGCCAGCATGGTAGGGGAAGCAAGAATACATGTGCCCAATACTTTCGAGGGGAATATTTTTAGCATGCTAGGATACTTCTAGATACTACGCGTGCGGCAAGGTTGAAACGGCAAAGTTTGATAGGCTAGCCACAGAAGCGCGTGTGCGACTTTTGCTATGAGTACCTTACCATTCACCCACGCTGCATTTGTGTTGGAATATACCTATTCTAGAGAGCCAACCAACATGACTAGAAGGGACCTACCTCATTTGTAAGGCCCAACATTGGTGTCTCGGTTTCAGAGCCATATATAGGACTTCTGTTCAAAACAGGTGCGGGCAACATGAGTTTTGATTCTATTCGTCGTCGTCGTACTTCATGCCATGATAGCTTCATGTCCAAATGCAGGGTACCTCCCACTAAAATGACCAGTCCTACCCTTCCTCGTGTATTCCATGCAAAACCATCACCAACGCGCCTCCATTCGTCAAAACATTCATCGCAATTTCGTCGCTTTCCGCGGCTTGAACGCCGGCTCAGCCGGTGGTTCCTGCTTTGCGATAATATTATCCACGCGGTCCCATATACTTTTCGGACTCCAATCGCTATCAAACATCTGAGAAATCCAGTGAAACGGATCTCCTGGGGACGTTTGATTGGTACAATGGCCTGCCAAAGAGTTAGTCAAGCTAAAACGTAAGTGTTGGCAGCGTTTTCACCTACCAGCATTCTTCATGTCCCTCCAGGTCTGCCTGCAAAATCCTTCATGTCTGTCTTGCAAGCCAGTCCAAAACCATCGGGCAACATGGTCTCCCAGGAAATCGTCGGCAGCGCAGTATGATTCGGGAGCGCGTCGGTAATATTGCCAATGAAGCAGAAGGATGTTTGCGCTCTTCTTCGCAACTTCGCAATATTGCTGGTAGGACTCTTCTTTATCTTCTTTCTGTAGTCTTCATCAGCAAAGAGTCCTCAAGCTGTATAGACGACCGCGTAATACCTCTTTTGCAGCGCAGAAGGAGGGGCTTTTCTTGTAGTGTTCTGTAGTCGCATCAAGCTCGTGGAGCATGATGAACGTCACGAGATAAACCGTGAAGAAGGATGTTCGAATCTTCTTGCAGCAGAGCTTCTCAAGGTCTTCAAGAATATGCTCGTGGTACTTGACCAGTCGCAGATGAGCCATAGAACGAAGTTGCGAGGTAGTCGTTGGCGGAGTAGGAATTCTGTCGATCAAAGGGTGATATTCGTCTTTGGCTGGTGTCATGCCTAGGCAATTTTGACTCTTCGGATCTTTGTTATAGATCCATGAAGGGCGTGTCAAGATGCCTAGCGAAGGAGTCTTGTTAGAACATGTAACGCCACATTTTCACAACTTAATTGATGCAGAAACCTGGATTCAGAGTGGGAAAAGCACTCACGCTGGGCGAAACGGAACTTGAACAAGTTGAGTAACAGACGCCGGTCGATGGGATGTTGGTCACAATCGTTGTAGTACTCCACTGCCGCTTTGTAGTGTTTCGAAATGAGCTGGTCGGTATCACCTCGATAGGCTTGCTCCTCCCAGCCCTTCACCGCGTTGGCCTCGATGTAAGCTTCCAGCTGCTCCCTCGACGAACTCACACTGGCAAGAGCATACGGTTCGAGTTTCGTCTCTTCTACCTCGCCCTTGTATTCGTTCATCCAGAAGTAGTTGATTTGGTCCGTCGGCATGGACTCTTTGTCGAACTTGCGAACCCGGATATTCATCGGTACAGAACACAGTCCCCGCGTTACGAGTTGGATGTCATGTTCACCTTCGTCAACCCACTTCTCGATCTCGATTATCTTGGCGGGAAGACCCAGCTTCGTGTCGATTCCAGCGTAATTGACATTGTAAAGGACGACATCGGCGAGTTTGGTTCGTATGCACGGCTGGCGGTGAATGACTTTTGAAGAAGTCAAGTCGACTTTCGCACAAGTCAAGCAGGGCCCATCGCGATTTGCCGCGTCAACTTCGCACTAATATCGCATGGTCAATATCGAGGATCCCATCTTCTTTGTAGCAATCGACCTTGCCAATCTTGGAAGAGGACATAGCCAACTCACCTTGAGACGCTGCATACGACATCGAATACACGCGCCAATTTTGCGGGTGTCGGCCACAGCGCGTCGGTCCTCGTCCGTCAGTACGCGTTTCCGTCGACCAGCTGACTTTGTCTCTCGTCCTTGACTGGAGATTTGTGACTCGGTGTCTTTTGGCCGAGGGACAATTTCCAACAGCCGGCCACCCTCGTCCCTTTCTTTTGCTGCCGCATTCCGCGCTGGCTTATGGTAGAGAGAAGGCTTGGAGGACATCTCAGAAAGTGACTTGACTCCACGAGCGTTTCCCGGTTGTTCTGGTGGCTCAAGCGGACTCGACTTGTTTGTGGGAGAGGTCAAGCACTGCTTCCAGGCTTGCTTCTGAGACCGTGATTGTTTGTTGTTGATTCGACTATCGCCTTGTGGACTAGGCAGAGAAGGAATTTCAGGTTGCTGATGAGGCACGGCGCCCCGCGAAGTCGGGTTGATCGAAGTTGGCTGAGAGAGTTCGGCAGATAACGGGAAACCGCGATGGAGCAGACGATTCTCTTGAGGCGAAACAATATCCTCTGGACTAGCAGAACCGTAAGACAGAGTTGTTGATCTCGGCGGAGATGGTATTTGCAAGCTCGCCGTAGTCGAAACACGTTCCCCGGGAACCTCCCAATGATTCATCCGCCCATCGTGGTTGAAGTGTTGACCATTTAGAGAGACCACTCGGTCGATAGTTTGATTCTCTTGCGGCCGAGTACCATCGTTCTGATGCACGAAGCAGCTGTAGACCAGGCCGACCGACCATGGAACTCTAGGCGGAAGAGTGCTTGTTTGCTGAATTAACCCACCCGATGAGCCATGATCGAGGGAGGATGGAGCTGGAGTCCAGCTAACAGCTTGAGACGCGTCGACATTGTAGGGCCCATTGATGGCTTGGTGAAAACATTGCGGACTGTTCTGGTTTTCAAGAGTGCCGTACTGCCAGTGGCCCTGAGTTGCCGAGTCTCTGTGTTGGCAATCATAGGGCGCCGAGTAAACGGAGCATCCAGCATCGTACAAAGTCTTGGTGTTCTGAATTCTGATTAGTCATTTTCCTTCTCCCTTCTCGTTTGACTCAGACCGTCTTTTCACGGTTCTAGGAAGAAGGTAGCCTGGGCAGAATTACTGCGAGAGTTATTGAGCTGGGTCAGGAATGGCTTACAAAGACGAGGGGGTCACAGTGCTCGGACCATTGAGCTCCTGAATCCTCCATCTTTTGGTATCAAATCGAGTGTGACTGCAGTTATCGCAAAGAGCAAGTGGTTTTCTTGGGTGTGGCATGAACCGGTGATGCACGAGCAAACCGAATTCTCAATCGAATGACCGGGAGAATTCGACGACAAGGGTAAGGCGCACTTGGCTTGTGTTCCCACCCGTTAATCGACTGTCAGATCTCGTGACTCGATGCTGCTCGGGATAATGTTGAAAAAGGATTGGCTTGAGAAGGTATACAAGTCGGACAAGTGGGTGTCTCCGAAGGCAAGATACCGATGGAAAACTGTAGCTTGAAGCATCCGAAGTCTATTTTTCTTTGAAAAATACATGTATGGTAAGATAACGCGGTTCCCCATCCCGCTTTAATGACATTTTGCTATCTTGGCGGCTCCCCGCTTCGAGGATCTACACCATCGTTCTTGAAGACCAGCCATGATATCCCACTACTTCTCTGTCTTTCCCAGCATTCAGGGAGACATTTCTTCTTCCTGTATGCGGATTGTGGGCATGCAACGGCATCCCTGTTTGTAGTCATAAATCATCCAGCGGTTGACCAAGCATGCTCACCTGTGTCGGCTGTGTCTGACGGGGGCGGCGCGAGAGCATTACCGGCGGCGCTCCCTACTGCCGTATCTTTGGACTTTAGGCCCACCACAGGCGTAGACATCGAATTGAGTGACGTACCAGAGGACGTGGACGAATCCAAAGTTGACCCGGATTTACCGGAAATCTGTGGCCCATCAAGACCACCTTTTAGCTCGTGCGTACGTTAATCTTGCGACTGGGGTTAGTGCGTGGGCGTTGAGCCTGTGGAGGATTCGAGATCCTGCGGCGGATAGGCTGCATGAAGGCGATACCAGGGTGCAGGCCCAGCATCCGGCCGTTGATTCCACATCAGGGAGCAAGCAATCTGAACCCCGGTATTAAACCAACAAGGCGCTCTCCGGGGAAGTACGGATGCTTACAATCTCTAGAATACCCAAGACATGATCTTTACCGCGGACCCTTACCGCGTTCTTGATCATGTGAGTCTGCAACTTACTACACAAAGTGACCTAGCTGGTTCGCATTTGAGTTCTCGCCGAGGGTGGACGCAGCCCGAGGATGGGGCCGCCGTCCACCCTCGATCACCGTCAAGGAGTACTTCGCGCTGACATACTTTTCTTAAACGCACTGTGCGTCTTACTCTCCTTCTGGTCTAGGCCGTCTGGAGAAGGTCTGTCTTGGTCTGTCACATTTCCCCGGTCCGATGGACCTGTCGGCTCGTAGACGAAGGTTGAAGGACCTAGAAGCAATGTGGAGGCGCACGTATACCAGGCCAAGTCGCTATCACGAAATAGGAAAATGCTTTCAAGCGCTAGTAGGTTCTAGATTTGAGACTATGGACCGCGGGAACAGGTGGATATTCTATGAATATGTCTGTTGGGCTGAGACTGCGAGGGCTATTCCGTGGATGTGGGTGGTGATAGAGCCCTCCCGAGATTCGAGATAACTAATGAGACACAGCCAGATTCACGTAGCGAAATTTTTCTTGGTCCTCTTTTCGTCTCAATTCACATCACTCGGTGGATAAGTAGCACACGATGCCTCGAAGGCAGTTGAACGTTTGATTGTACCGATTTCACAGGGCGCATACCCGGGAACGCGGCCTCGAAGAAATATTCGGCGGCCACAACTAACCGAATCCAAAAAGATCAAGATCCATCAGGTACTGTCCCATCTATTCACTGCACGTTCTTGGCGCCATTATTGGTCTCATGTTACGAATGCATTAATAGATGGGGGGTCAAAGGGGAGAGGGGGAGGGGAATAGCCCTCCATTCCAAAGCCTCAACCTACGCCCGTTGCGGGTTGGCGACTTTCTTCACGAGGTTAATAAGCCGTCTACCAGTGAATGCTCGAACGGGGATGGCCCTTCTCCCCATTGAGAGTCGTTTCCTCCGCAAGATCGCTGACGACCTGGCCGCCTGCACGCCCCAAGGAGAACGATCCAAGAGAGCCGCGTCTGGGATCGTTCGAACTTTTAGAGGGTTCACTTGGGCCGCATCGGGAGCTGAGTTGAACCCTTACGAGTTTGAGGACGTCGAGAGACGGGGAGCTGGACTCTAACCCAAAGTAGCGCTGTACAGGAAGTACGAGAACTTACGTGAGGTGCTTAATCGAGTACACCGAGGCATCGTCCGTTTTTTTTTTTACGCAATATATCTACGGCTGGGGCAGTATGCTCGGAAATATTCTCGTACCAAAGCATGCCACTATGATCACCAATGATTGCTGGGTCTGAAGCGCCTATATAGAGTACATGGAGCATGGAGAAACGCCCGCCCCCCCGTATTTGGTTTTGAGGGTTTGCGGCGGACCCCCGATTCCTGAGCTGTGTCTGCTTCAGTCGAGAACCTGAAGCTGTTGTTCTCATCATAGCAGCATACATTCTGAGTCCACTAAACTCAATGTCTCCATCTGCAGCTTAACGCGAGAAAGTATTCGTAGAACATTCCCAAGAATCAGACTGCACACCCCTCACGAGCCTCCTTGAGCTGACTGTCTATGTTGCCCAAGGTCTGATCTGTGACGAGCCATCCGGCTGCAGCATGCAACCGTACAAATAGCCTACTTGAAACGAAACCTATTTCCTTGAAATTGACCTGACAGCGCTCTTCAGCCCCTACCCGACACCCTGTCAGGCCGTTGTCTCGAGGCTTCAAGACACTGAATTTCAGATAGCGACTACCTAGTCACCAGAAAGAGACGACAATGCATCTGTGAGCCCACAGGATAGCCTATAACTCTTCAGCTTGGACAGTCGCAACTTCACGAGTTTCCGATTATTATCTCCGTAGTCTTTTGAGAATCCAAGAGACTCGAGCCACGAGCTCATTCTCAACCACACAGCATCACCCCAATGGGCGCTAATACTTAAGCCCTACGGACTCGGGAGCCCTGACACCACACGTAATTTGCATGTGGGTAATACTGTCTAGGACCCTTCACCCACTAGAGCCCATAGTGTGACAGGTGTCGCCGAAGGTTCCGAACAATACGAAGTGAGGATTAAGGGGCGCCGGGGTCGCACAACAGTAGACTGTCTCAAGAGTCGGCAGCTGAAGAAAGACTTCCACTAGCTTTGGGGCTTGCAGTGAAACAGAAAGCGGTCAGAATGATCTTGGCCATGACAGGTACTTCGTGCCTATCCGTGAACATCGTGAGGCCGGAACGGCCAGTCAGCAGCCCGGATACCGATGGACTGAATTTCCTGGCAACAGTGCAAGGATTCGAGGAAGTAGAATTCACAAGTGCCTAATCACTTGCCTACTTAACCACCATGGAGGCTCACTACCTTGAACTAGGCATATACTACCTATTCATGATCAGCCTACAAGCTATACGTGATGGGGGCCTGGAAGCGACCCTGAGATTTGGCGAAAATAATGTCTTCTGCCTGGGTCACCCATCAGTCAGAGCATCTTCAGGAAAGCCAGAGCAAGTTCAGTATTTTCTATATGAACTCATATTTAGAGGACACGCTGACGTTTTCCGAGGAGAAAACCAAGTGACAGACAGAGGTCGAGCTTCTGCGAAGTAATCTTAATGGTGTTAGTCCCGGCGAGGATCGTCCTGCCACAGCATCTGCGCCATACCCCTAGTGACCCCTAAAACGAAAAGTTAGCATGAAACAAAGGCAGTGAAAGCCCATGATGTAGAAGCTAATGTAGATGAGCTCTGTTCTACGTTTGGTTTGAGGCCGGCATGCAAAGAGGGGGAACCTACACAATGTGAGAGTGAGGAAGCCGGATTGCTCCGCATGACAGCGCAACGTCTTCTCGTTCAAGAGGCTTATTATCTCATGAGAGCGAAGCTAATGCATGTAAATCCAAGAGTAGTTCGGGCCAATTGTGTCACATATCAGATCTCAACTCCCTTCCACTGTGCCGTCGCAGATGCTAAGTATCATGCTGACGGTAATTTACTCCCCAGTGGACTGAGCACAACCGGCCGCCACTGTCTGTAGTTTTGGCCAGGCCCATCTTCCCAGCCATGTCTCCATATTGTTCTTGTCAGAATTGGGTGGTATGCGTGGCAAGCTACACTGAAGGGGAGAGGAATGGATGCGAGGGCGATCTTGGCATCGGCGCATCGTACAGCGTCGAGTCTCAAACAGCTGCATCACGGTTGTTATCACGGAGACTTACTAAGATCCTTGCATGCAGATGCTGCTTGAAATGGTGAGGCCTCTTTAAGCAAGAGAGCCGAAAAGTGACTGAAGTACAAGGAGAAACATCCAGTTCTTGTCGGGTTGAGTGGTGGAGATATACTTGTGTGACAAGGCCCTGTCGTCACCGCGCCACTGGCATTTAGCTGAAGTGGCTTGTTTAGTGGTGGGGTGTACAAATCCAAGAGCATCAACGCGTCCCAAAGATTTGATGGCGGCCCAGGGATTTGGAGTGCGCCCTAGACATGTACCAGCGGTGCCAGCCTTCTTTTCCTCTTTCCCCCTCTCGGACCTTTAGTTCCTTTTTCTGCCCGAGACCTAGTGTCGAATAGACACTGTAGGAGAGAACACTGTGTAGGATCTCACGTCCGGATAAGGGATGGGTGTGTTTCCTCCTTTTCCAGCCTGCCAACATCAGTGTCACACGTGTCCACTGTCGAGGTGATGGGACAACACTAAGAAGAGAGGCGAAGTAAGGGCCGGGGCGAGGCACGAAGGCCCGGGGCGGCCCTGGTGGCACAGAGATATTGCTTATTTCGCCGCCAGCCACGAGTCCTCCGCCAAACTTGGCCGGGCAGAATGGCTGGCTTCTTGCTGCATCCATCACCCTTGAGGTCTTCTTGTTCGGACTTAGGTCCCTTTTTGCAGCCCTATCAGAAATGTGCCATTGGTAGCGCCCTTGATGCAGATGGTAGCAGCTGTGCTAGGATCATTGATCTCTCTTCATCTGCTGTGATGTTTCCCCCAGCCTGAATCCGAGGTGCCAAGCATGCATGATGCAAGCTGATATCAATACTTCACATGCCTTTGCACTATTGTAACCGACGCCAATGTCTATCTTACGAGGAGACGCAGGGCGGTCCCCTATTTGTCCGAAGGTATTCAGAGAAGTTAGTTATAGGTAGTCGAATAATTATCAACAAGTTGATTGCAGTAACGTTGCTCCCGTGAACTGGGACTACGAAGACCATGCCGTGCCTTCACCCTCGAAGCTAGGTTCCGTGCCTGTAACCTTCTCGGCTGAATACAAGTAGCCTTGGAATTATGCTTGATTCAAAAGATAAAATCTCACCGGAGGTGAGTCCAGCTCCCCGACTTTCAATGCCAACCTGGTTTGGAGCTATCACGCGAATGAGACAATAAACGACGTGAGGACTAGGCATCGGCCGTAACCACCTATACTGACGCTCAGCCTAAGGCAGCAGCTTAACATGCACTCCCCATTTCAGTATGATCGGGAGATTTGCACGCATGTCCTGCCGGAGATCCGTCTAGAGCCAATAGACACATGTGTTGCCCATCACACTCTTCTTGGCAAGGACGGCGTTTCTGGACTGCATGCTCTAGCCTACATACAAGTTGTCACGGCCCGTGACGCGGGGCATGGGTGGGCAGAAAAAGCAACAGCCCTTCCTCTGACCTTAATCCTTATTGTACCACCGTACGAATAGAAATGAAATCATGGACAGCGATCAAACCATCCGGAATGTCCCCTGGCACCGCGCCTCTCTCATGCCTTGCCTAGTATCAAGGTCAAGCCGTGCTCGCAGCTCCTTCTACGATGTACGGAGGTACCGTACAGCCTTTTCTCCAAGGTACCGAGGGCTGCAAGTGTTCGGATGCGCGTCATTCTGGGTCGATGGGCTTGACTGAACTACCGCCTTCACACGTGGAATACGCACGCTCGATCCACACAAAGGTGTAGGGTTGAAAACCAAACCTCTCGCATCGTGAAGAGAGGGTAAGATCGTCCATTCGAAGTAAAGAGATGAATATGCAATGAACATGTAAATATCCAGCTGACGGTATCCAGGGGTCTGCCGACGACTAGTCCGTCACCCCGTCCCATGATGCTGCAACATCCCCGCGGCCCCGCCCCCATGTCCTCGTTTCTTTTTGCAGTTTGCATGGAGTGCCCCCACACCGGTGAGATGGCACATTGAATGATGTCGCGACACCCATTCGATGCCAGTAGACCGACTGGTTGATACGGCAGACAAAATGCAGCACGCCTCGATCTGTCTGCAGCATGGTGGTTCTAGAGCCCCTAGCCTTTGGTATCCCCCCTGACTCTCTCACCCAACCCCAAATGCACGGCTTCTAAACCAATCTAGCGTCTAGATCAGACGTCACTGGGAGGATACTGTTGGCTGAAGCATAGTGACGATATAGTACTGATTGGGTTCAGAATCTCTGACTCAAGTACTTACTCTGCCGTCAGAAGTACAAACATCTTGTCAAGTTGACCGCCTTGATCCCTTGATTCGCCCGAGTACTCTTGAATTAGGTGTATCCCCAAAGCATGGACAGCCTCGGGCACGAAGGCGTCGAGAGGCAGATACCTCAAACTTGGCGGTGGAAGATTCATGTTCACAAAGATGACCTGTGGTACCTTATCTCTTTCAAGCATTTCAATCACCTGGGTATACCCTACATGCAGCTGTTTCTGCCGAATCTCACATCAAGGGTGGAGAAGTGTCTTGCTGCCCATCGTTGATCGCGATAGGTGAGGCAGAAAGAATGAGAGACTGTCAACGTTGCACCCTAACAGCCCTGGTAAATTGAAATGCCAACGATCTATGAAGTAACGAGAACGGATGTGGTACCCCCTGGTCCACACTTTTTGTGTAAGTAGCTTACATTCAGACCATGTCAGTTGAAGGTAAGATCTGAGAGCTGAGATTCAGAGACTGCGATGGGGCACACGGAGCCGTGCCTCTACAACTCCTTGGACAGAGCTTAGCGAAGAAGGGCACGATACACGCGTTCTTGCAGACGAATGCGAAAGAGAGCAATTGACTCAATTCTCGTACCAGTAGTGGCAACACTTTGCGATACCAAGAAACCACAAACCAATGAAAAACAAGTTCCAAGCATCCAAAAGCAAAGAGCGACTATTCTTGTGGCAAATGTTGAATATGCCCCGACGCACATCCTCAGGCGCCCGCCTGTGAGCATCACACGCCCTCTCCGGAGCGGATCCCCCACCTGGGTCTGGCATGTAACGATAGAGGGCTAGATTGCGGTCCATCGCAAAAGGACCGCGGCGGCGATGACTGGAAGGACGCTGACTAGTTCACCCAAGCCCGCAAATTCGGGCGGAATCCTGGCGTTGACAAACGCGCCAGCGCCGAGGAGAATAGCAAACACGTTGTATACGAAGCTCCAGCCAAAGTTGAAGGCAATCCTGTGGATAGCTTTCTTGCTAATGGCAATGATGGTGAGAATCCCCGCAAGGCTCGGACGCATGAGAACGACGTCCGCGGCGGACTTTGCGACGTCGGTCCCCTCGTTCATGTGCACGCCAATGGTGGCCTGTGCCAGTGCAACTGCATCGTTAGTTCCATCGCCACAGAAGATGATGACTGGCTCTTTCGGCTTCTTCGCTCTGAATCGGCGGGCGTCGGACAAAGGTTGCGACAGTAGGTTCTGGATGTACTCTTGCTTGTCGCCAGGGGTGCATCGGGAACGAACGTTTAGATCTGAGATGCCCAATCGTGAAGCCACTGTTCGAACGGCACCATCATCATCCCCTGAGAGGATGTGAACAGAAATGCCGGAAGCCTGGAGATTGGAAATTGTTTCAAGAGCATCTGTGCGGATAGAGTCTTCGAGGCCAAAGACAGCAACCAAGGAGTTGTCCACAGTAAAGCAGAAGGCTGTGTAGCTCTTGGATAGGACTGATTGAACCCTGGGGTCGTTAGAGAGACCAAGCCAACGCGAGTTGCCAGCTCGAAGAGTGGCTCCGTCGAGTTTCGCCTCAACACCCTTGCCCGTTAGGGCCTTCAGATCCGTAACAGCTGTAGGTGTAGCAACGTGTGCTTTTAGATGAGTGAAAATGGCAACAGAGACTGGGTGTTTGATGGTGCCAACGAGGCCGAGAAGCACCGATCTGATGGCCTCTTGATCTTTTGTAAAGTATGTCTCGTGCGCAACTCTGAGATTTCCAGTTGTAAGGGTTCCGGTTTTGTCAAAGACAACGTGCGAAGTCTTATAGGCAAGCTCAATGCTGTCCGCAGATTTGAAGACGATACCCTTTTCGGCAGCTGCACCACTCGCGATTAAAATGACCATGGGTACTGCGAGGCCTATAGCGCATGGGCAAGATACAATGAGGACGGTGATGGCGTATGTTACCGCCTGGATAGTTGCTTCAGAGCCACCCTGCTTGCGGACCGCAATGCCAACAGCAATCCAAATCGAGAAAGTGATGATGGTGATGGCCATAACTACCGGTACGAAGTATGAAGCGACTCTATCGGCAATGTCCTGGATCTTTGGCTTAGAAAGCTTAGCCTCGTCGACCATTCCGGCGATATTGCTGATGGTGTTATTGCCAGGAAGTCTATTCAGACGAACGGTAAGAGAGCCAAAGCCGTTTACAGTGCCAGCAATGACTGAGGATCCGGTGGACTTTTCGATGCGTCCTGACTCCCCAGTCATCATTGACTCATCAACTTGCGAGAAACCTGAGATAACTGTCCCATCGGTAGGGATTCTGGAATCAGGGACGACCTTGAAGATGTCTCCGTACTGGAGGAGACGGGCGTCAATCTCCTCATCCTCACCAACTGAATTAACAATCAGAGCCGTCGAGATCTGAAGAGATCGTATCGAGATAGACTCGACGGCTCTTTGTCGCGCTAGAGCGCTCACATACCTACCAACCATAATGAGCGTTACAAGAAGGGTACTCGTTTCGAAAAACTCCCCAGTCGAAAGAGGCTTCTGAGAGACAAGAAACCCAAATGACACAACGGAGAAGATGTAAGCGGCACTTGTGCTTAGCACAATCAATAGATCCATCTCAATAACTCGTGAAAAGATCAAGCTCTTCAAAGCTTTTGGATAGAATGGCCCAGCAATTACGACTTGTACAATCGTCGCCAAGGCTAGCGATGCCGAGCCATATGCTATTTCTCTTTTTGGAAGAGGTGCCCAGGCCATTATGAGAACGGGAATCGTCAGGATAGTTGAAAGCAAAGTTATGCATCCCATGTTGCGAATGTGCTTGCTTCCAGCCTCCAACGAAGGATCCACTCGAAGTGGCGCCAGCGTAACAGGCGTTCCCCAGCCTGTTTCGACCAGATCACGGGCTCCGACGACCTTCGCGTCAAATTCAACATGAACAATGGCCTTGTCTATGACCCGAATGTCCGTGACACCATTGGGCCATGGATGATTGATGAAATCTTGGGGATCGCCAGGGCAGACGATGTCAACACTGGCAGCACCCTGCGTGGTGATCTTTTCGCATTTGAACTCAGTTGTACGTTCGAGATGTTTGATGACTTCATCCACCGAGCCGGCGCCAATGTTCAAGTCGAATTCGGCTCGAGCCAACACCAAGCTAGTCTTCAGGTTTTTGACTGCGTTCATCGTGGCCAGAGTTCGTCTGAGTTTTGTTTCGCACCCAGTGCAGGTCATGCCAGAAATGCTCAGCACGACGTGTTCTTTTCCAACAAGGCCTTGTTCAAGATCCTCGTTCACACTCTTCGGCTCAGGCGGTAACGATTGGTTAATAGGTCTCGACGGCGACTCGTCGCAACAGGAGTCGGCACATGATCCAACAATGCTCTGCGTTTTGGGCTTCGAGCAGCAACCATCGTTACATGTACCTGGTTTGATGCCAGACCTTGAACTGCGAGTTGGCTTTTCGCCGCATTTCCTTGGTCCCGGACGGGAAGCAGATTTGTCCACCCCGGAAGCGCTGCAGGAATCAACCGATGTGCGATGAAAAGACGCGGATGTCTTTGAAGATCGCTTCCTTTCGATGGAGGAGCGCTCACGAGGAGCACAGCAAGATTCCTGGCCGAGAGCAAGAAGTGCACGGCAGATACAGCCCAAGGCATCAAGCTTTGACTGATAAATCTGACGTACGCTTCGAGAATGACCTCGGCACGCCTTGCCGTCTTGGCCGCCAGTGCAGTTATTGTCTGTGGAGGCTTGTGTGGATCATATTAGCAGCTGGAAAAAGTGAGCTCTTTGCACGAGAATTTACCTTGGTAGGTCTGCGGAAGCTTTGAAGCCTTTCCGTTTGCGCACTCGCGCAGAGCGAGGCGATCGATGCAAGTAGAGTCACAGCAAGGTGACGTCTTGCCCTCACAACAGCCGGGTGTCTTCTCTCCACGAACGTCAGGTGCAGAACCAGAGGAGCAACAACCCTTTTTGCCATCGTCTGAGCAGATCTTTACAGGTTCATCACCATCAGATTCGGTCACGGCAATAACTTCGCCCGCCACTGCTTTGATTGATGTGGTCTCAGGGCAGTCAGTAGGTCTTTTGCCCCTCGCCGAGCCACAACATCCTGAAGAGCACTTCTTGGATTTTGGGGCACAAGAGTCCTGCTTGGAATCGGGAGTGTTGATCGAGGCCGCGATTGACTTGAAGGCGGGGTCGTCTTGTTCAGATTGGCATCCAACGCCAGGAACCTTCTTTGCGGACTCGTCAGGAGACTCGGCGATGGTATTGCTTTTAGCGCTGATTACAGCAACTTGTTCATTATGAGACCCATAGCAAGCGTTCGCAAAGTCGCCAACCTTGACCTTTGGAGCGCAACAATCTTCTTCGACTTGTGCTGAGTCAATGCTGCCGTCGTTGGACGCAGCGCAGCAGTTCTGGAGGATTGTGTTTCCAGAGTCCTTGTCTCTTCCATGATCGGTCGTCTTGCATTCTTCCACCTTAGCTTCAATGACGGCATTCAAATCGCTCTCCTCAACCGCGCAGCAGGTGTCGACAACATCAGGATAGTCGCGGTCCAATCCATCTGGGGGCGAGGCGACTAGAGGCGGGTTGTCCCTCGCGAAAGCCTGTTCCTGTGGAGGACCGCAGCAGCCGGATCCACAGGCCATTGAGAAAGTTTTGACGGCGAGTATATAGTTCTTGTGATTTTCTTCTCTGAGATTGTGACCCTGACGTGTGATGCGATGGACAGATGAGACGACACGTCGGCGGCACTTCACGGGAGCTTTTGGGGGAACTGCGGGTCCGGCTACGGAGGCACGTGCCCGGAGGGGTGGATCAACGCACACCCGCTTCCGGGTCGCTTAGGTAATGAGGCTAGACGCCACACTTAATGTGGCGGGGCAAGTCAATCATGGGCGGATTGTGTGTAATCCTTCAACTCCCTCGACTCTCGTTTTGTTCATCATTGATTGCTAGCTTCCACAACAGATGTTGTTTTAAGGACCTGAACATAATTCTAGCCGAAACCATAATTTGCATGAGGTTCTCGGAACTATAAGACTACACATGGCTCTCTCCCTTCAGGGTCTGCTTCTTCTTCCCGGACACAGAAGAGATACGCTGAAGGCCAAGATGCGGAGTCGAGGGCAACTGGTTTACAAACAGTACCATTTCGCACCATGATCTCGGCGCTGGGCACCGGATTAGACTTACATAAACATGATAGATCCGATACTTCTCTGGTTCATAGGTTCCTCCGGTCACAGCTGGCAAGCTCAGACTGTGACCACTGACAAACGCGTTGACGAAAGAATCCGACTGGCACTGAGCACCTGTACTCTACAGAGATCGCCAAACGTAGTATTTGACAATTCGTTGTCTCCTAGGGTAATCTCCCTGATAGCGTCAACTCAGCTGACCCACCCTACATTAATGCGCTCTCATAGACTTCTGGCTCTTCTTGCTTGACTTTCCGGCGGATGACTTGTGCCGTTTAGAACTGTACTCCAAATCGACCCTGTAGGCCGCGCTTCGGCTTGCTGAAGTCACAGATCCATAAGAGGTATTGCCGGATGTAGACGATTTGTAAGAGTTGTTGCTTCTTGAACACGAGCCTGATGCGGAGGGCGACACAGTGTCTGCGTTCTCATCCACAGGAGGAAACCCGTTGATCTTGGATAAGGCAGAACCTCGACGGTGAGAGCGACTGGAAGAGCCGTAGCCAAACCTGCGGCTAGCAGCCCCCTGACGGAGCTCACTGAATGCCATATCTGGGGTGGTCGCTCGTGTTGGGACTAGGCCGGTTGTTTAGCTCAATGGTTAACAGGTGTACATCGAGGATTGATAGACCCACGGTAACGTGCGCATTCGGCACAGCACCCATGATCACAAGTCTCAGACTCATTGACAGGGGCGGAGGTACCATGGCCTGGTGTGGCTTTTGGCATTGTACACCAGCCCTGGGTATTGGGACCTTGGTTACACTGACAACAGGTCCAGGTGCCACCCATCGCCTTGAACTGACAGTTGATCAAAGGACAGTCGGCATTGCTGGGTTGGGCGGTTGCATAACTCAGGTGTGAGCAAGGAGTCTCTACACCTGTTTCGAGATCAATCAGGGCCGAAGGGCAGTAGTGCCAGTTGATCGAAGTGTGTGAGCAAGGGTGGAGACGAGGGTGGCCGTGACACATGGTGAAAGATGGCAATGTGCAGATTTGTTTATACTTGACGAAACAAAAGTATGAAGTCACTGTAGTGAGATAGTCAACGACTGATGGCGGTAATCTGTGAAGTTGACTGGAATTCGCTTTCACCAAGCAGCTTCCTGTATCTTATATACTTCATCGTTTCCGCCTTCTTGATGACCTCTCCTTGCACATCATAAAATTTGTACAAAGTTACCGCACTTCCATGATCACTATTCCGTCCTAACTGCCGATGAACGCCTCCGTTGGTTTCTTTTCTCACAGCTACTGACACATGTTCACTTCTTACCAACCATCTCGAACACCACCCTCACTCCACATCTCATCTGTCATCACCCCTCGCTCACCGACAGTAAGGGTCGTGGAACCCAGGGTCAAAGATGGCCCCAATTGACTGTTTCTGGGATTCCAATGTCTCGGGCTGCATGGTGAATGGGTTGTTTGGCGTGAATGTTATGTGTTGCATCCATACTTGAGGGTGCGGAAACATAGATCAGGCAGCCAATGAAACAACCTGCTTGTGCGGCCAGGGCTCTCCCAACACGCCCTCATCAAATCTGGGTGAAGTCTCCGACGGGAACTCGCAGCTTTGTGTCACACCGGTCCACCCATTATTGCGACACGACGATCTCCACCGTCATCAATCTCTGTGTTACGCGTCTTACATCGCATCCATGGGGATGAATTCCTCCACGAGTGGTTTGAGCAGCGGATGAGAAGCCCGCCCTCCCGGTGCCTGGGTTCGTAAGATCTCGCTAGGAAGCTTGACGCATGACCATCTTGTGATAGTCAGAATGGAGGGTTTCACGATAATCACGATCCTTATTCGGGGCTAATATTAGCCCCGATGATACTTAGCCTCGCCAATCGGCTGCTCCAAAATCTGAGTGGTCGAGAGGAAAGTGGCGTGAGTTAGGAGGGGTTGGTTGGCTGGATCGAAATGCAAGAGTGCAGGATCTGGAGACTGAGCTGGGTAGCTGCTTAATGTGACCCAAGTTGGACCCCATCCGATCACGATCTCGAGATCATGTTCAACTACTCACAGATACGGAATCTGGGCAAATATCATGCAGGAACGCGGCACCGAAAAAGGTTGCGGACAATTTCATCACTTAGGAATATTAGATACATTATACAGTGTGAGACAATCCGGTTGTCTGAGATTCCCCTGCAAGCACCCATTGCCACCGACCATGGCGATGGATGTCACTATGAGAACTTGCTGGCTTACTCGACCACTGCGAGATTATTGAAGAGAAAACAAGTGGAACCTATCCTTTCTATGTGTTTCTGCACCCACCACTGATTCATACTATCCTTTCCTGGGTTTGGGCTCCTCCAAAAGATAGATTGCCATGACGTCTAGTCACTTGAGGATCTCAAGCTGAGTCTTTCTCCTTCTTTTACGTCACCTCCTAAGCTCCAAGAAGCGATTTGATTCCACAGGCCACTCGCTTAATTGCTCCATCATATTCTTGGAAATATTCAACCATCCATGGCGGCAGTACATGTCGAGCAGCAGATATGCTCGCAGCGGTACTGGTTTCCGTCAATGATCATGATGCAGCTACATCTGCCTCCATCGTTCCAACCCTTGCCACACCAGCAGCAGTTCCAGCATCTGTTGCGGCTTTCGTATGGGCAGTCTTCCAAAGGGCACTTTGGCAAGGCTCTCTGGTCATAGCCTGGGGGAGGAGGGTACGGAATGTTTTGTTGAGTGACATCTCTGCAGGTTTTGCGTTTGGATGGATCTTTTTTCGAGGATGTCGAAGCCTTGGAGCAATATTCGATATGAGTCTGGATATGCTCGCAGGGCAACTTGAAAGCTATGGTGTGGCACATGACGTCTTCGAGGTTTTCGAATGTAAATGTACTTTTCGATATGCGGATGTTGCAGTTCAAAAGTTACGAAGATAGAGAAGCTGGAGTTGAATAGTCAAATGAAGATTTGAGAGTCACAGGCACGATGCGATGCTCAATGTTCTGATGTTACTTTCAGGTCCTGAAATACACCTCGACTATTCTGGGGTTTCAATCCTCAACTATATACTCAGAATCTCCGGACAGAAGGTTACAGAAGAAGCAGGTTCGGCGATCTACTCCGACCTGTCGGTAAGCATATTGAGGCGGCCACGATTTCTTCCCCTTCCCCTGACGATCAGTTACCACTGCATTGGGTCCCAAGCGGAGGCTTTGGCGGCCTGTTTGCAAAAGGCGAGCAAATGACTCGCAAGATGCATCCAAGAACAAATAGTTTGAAGGGTTATTGAAAGGAAAACGTGGCAGCCAGGTCTCTGATATGTATCAGGGACCGACTTCGGACGCGTTGAATCCCGGGGCTTGATCCGTATCTGCTTTCCGTTAGAACAAAATCGCGACAGACACTTTAGTCAGGCAAATGTGCGAACCATTTGGGTGAAACACGCAGTAGAAAAGATAGCATTTCGATTGGTCTATATTACTTCATGTAATGCAAAGGCTCCCAAGCCTCCTCGCCTCCATCGTTCAGCCTCGTGCGTGGAGTTGGGCTCGTGGTGAATAGCCAGGAAGCAAGTTGATCACCAGGAGGCGCTCTCGGCCGACGATAACACCCCCTGCCTGATGTTCTCTCCAATATAACTGGTCTTCATCCCGATCCGTGTACGACCCGACATCAGCTGCTGGACTAGGGCTTAAAAGCCTAGACTCTGATACCCATCTTTCCACGGCCCATGAAGAGCCGAGAACTTGGGTGTGGCGGCTGGTGAACGAGCATCGAGTGAGATATGGCGCCACTTCTGGAATAGCAAATCGTCGGTCTGTCGAAAGATTCCAAATCACTCTTGCGAACTCCTCGTGTATTCTTCCCTGTCTCCACGTCGTCGTCTATCAATGAAGCTCAGTGGCTGTGAGGTGCTCATCACCTTGTCTTGCCCTACCAAGGTCGTCAGGACTCAGGTGTTAGTGTCCGCCGTACAATTTCTGCAGACTCGATGGTAGCAGAAAGTGTCTGGACTCTTCTTCATTTTGTGTCGACACCAGCGCAGTGTGTTACTTCCTCTGCTGCATTGACAACAGTTCCAATAGCCGTTCAACTCTTGCAAACGGCAGCCGCCGGCACTGCAATCAGGAGAAATCAGACAGCCTCCAGTTGCACAAGGATTATCAAAATCAACATTCTGGACCGCATTGGAAGTGACTTTATCGCAGGGAGTCTGAAAATTGCCATCCGAATCTCCTCCAGCGTCCATGCAAAATTCCCAATGGAAGACATTGTCAATCGGCCGAGGGCACGGCTGAACGTGGTGGTGGTGAAGGTAGGACCAAGTGCACATGGTTGATGTTCCTAAGCTGAGCTGAGAAGTTCCAAAGTTTTGGTAGTCTTCACGAGGGCTGCTGCCGTATGTTCTTCCCCGTTTAGGTAGTTGCAGGTAGTAAGGTATCGAAATGTCGACAACAGGAAGGAAAAGGGGTCCTAGACAAGATGCGGAGACCGATCTCGAGGACAGGAAATCCCGTGGTTGATCGAAATATCGCGTGACACAAAGATGCGAGCTCCGAACAGATGTTTTGTGTAAGCAGTGGGAGCCAAGAGACGGTTCGAGGAATTGCGGACTCTAGGCGAACTGGGTTGATTGTGTATGATGGAGCTGAGTGTCGATCTGGGCCGACTTATGAACAGAATTTCGATAAAATTGATTATCACAAGCAGTCTGCATCTGCTAGAGAAGGTAACAGTGGGTTGTTGAGCAGGAGCAAAGTGACTCAGTGAATCGGTTTGATATTGATTGGGACGGCACCCTTGTGATGTTTGATGCCGTTGTCGCCGAGTGTTTCGATACTTCTGAGTGCAGATATGAATCCTCTTATACACCATACCATTGGAATTTTCGTAATGTCCTTGACACAGCTCACAGCTACTTCTCCCTGAACCTCGAGTATTGGGCATCTGGCCCATCTCAAAGCCCCGGCCCGTCACTACCACGCTGTTGGGACCTGGCCACCTCATTTCTCTGATGTTTGCCTCACGAACCCTAAGGGAATGGCACGATTTCTCTTCCAGGCTTCAATAATTGGCCGCCATTGTCAAACCTATGGGTCGCAATTCAGACTGTCCCTCCGGAGAATGGCGAAGCACGTGGCTTGCCCATGCTTACCGGTCTTGCAACCAGGGTTCTCTTCAATGTGAAGTTCCAATGATATCAAGAGGAATGAGACACAGAGGCACACTTTTGTAACAATGCACAACTTCGGGAAAATTGCCTTTTCGTCGCCCATATGGAGGCCACATGAGATGGGCATGGCAATCAGCCACAAAGGCGCTATTCACCCCGGCTCCCACGAGTTGCTATCCTCGTTTCCGGGCTCCTGGTTCCGGGCTCCAAGGCTGATGAGACTAGCGATAATGTTTACCCATCATCGCGATATTCGAAGGCGTTCTAGAAACCCCTTAATGTGTGTAGAGCACCTTTCTCGAAGATGATATGGGACAACACCATGTACCCCAGACTTGCCTTGTTCCAAAGTGGATGTACAGTTTTTTCGTGTGCTCCCGGGCCTCAAGACTCAGTTCCACGAAGCTTCCCTTGTTTCCAATCATGAGAAACCGTCCGGTTCCCCTGACCAATGCCAGTGTAAGAGATTGATGACCCAATGCATCTTGTTCGCAATCACGTCGGCTTGTTGGGGGAGGAAAGAGGGGTAGGTACAGTGAGATAAAATGATGTACACAGGAGAGGGCTTGTAGGATGTGTCCGACTATTCCCTTTGGCCCTGCCTCATCGAGAGCTGCAAGATGTAGTGTAATCTTAGATTTGGGCTCGAAATCGAGATTCCAGTAGGAGTCAAGTTAATGGCGGCCGACTCCTACACATCACCGGCGTTTGGCGCGGTATATGGGGTCACACATAACTTATGCCACAGTCTTCAGCCCGAATACTGCGGCAGCTGTGTGGTCTAATTGAAGGAGCGTGCGCCAAAGGATTATACCATACCTCAGATATCACGATCTTTGACTTTATTGGAATCTTCCTGTGTGCTTGTAGCGCTATAATCGGTGGCCACGAACAGTTCCGACATCAAAGTCACCTGCGAGAGCTCTTGCAAGGAAAATGACATGTGACAGCTAACACATTCATTCAGTAAGGCGTAACCCCGAATATCTTGTCTCGCCAAAGTCTTAATATCAAACTAGGCACGATATCCAATGACAACGTTCGGCCAGCTCCGACGCAGAAGGGTAGACTACTGTAAGAGCAAACTACTGTACGACACGTTAGATCAACCACTTATAGCAAGGCCCAGCCGCTCCTGTGGCTGTTTGAAATGGTGACACTGCATGATGGTCAGCAGAAAGTGCGATCAAGGTCTGTCAAGTCATGCAGGCTATAGTGGAAGATACTGATGGCTGATATGGAGGCTTTTTGGCGTACTTCACGGGTCCCGAGACACCGGAAGTCCATTCTTCAGCGACGGAGTGGCTGGAACAAGATATCAAGCTTCTCTGTCCGGCCTTCTCTCACATGCCATACCCAAGTATGTTGGTCTTATCACCGATCAGTCGTCTTGATCGAGCCCTAGGGCGTTGAACTCTCGCGTATTGTTAGACATCGGGTCGGGACACTCCTCCGAATTGGGAATTAGTGCCGGAGATATATCACACGAGAGCAAATCCGCCTACCGAAACTGCGATGCGGCTGTACGTTCCCGTCGGCTACACAAGGTCGAGCATTGACTCCTCGGTTACCAGCAGAGCTGGGAAAGCGCAAGACCTTCCACATTGAGATGCGTCTCTATGAACGAAAATGATAGATGTAGCTGGGATAGCCATAAAATATCCAATAGCTTCCCTCCTCGGAGCTGATTCAAAGCTTACGGCCGGAGAAATCAGAGACTGCTGCGCTCCATGGGCAGTTGAAGCTGGACTTGGATGATACCAGGCTCCAGATTTCCACGCAAGCCGTAACACAGACGTTTCTGAATCAAATTGAGGCAAGTTTCCAGGGTGGCACAAAAGGCCTAGATCCGAAAGACTCGAAGCTGTGCAAGTGGGAGCCCTGGAAGCCCATGTCTCAGTACACGATGTTTAGCGCCGCCATCGAGAGGCTAAGTACTCGGAAAGAAAGAAGATTCGTCACTGAACGATTCGAGATGCCGACCACCTGCACCATTCTTTTCTCAATTGTGTGCTTACTAACTGATTTGGTTTGGTCCTCATCCTACAGAGTACCTATGAGCCATCCGTTTCTCTCAATTGCATATACAGCCTCAGCTAGATAAGCTGGGCTAAGTGCACAAGCGCTTGACGTCAAGATGATGCCTGAACATGTCGTAGGGCGTATCGCCTCTCAAAGCTTGTTACTGGAATGCCTAATGATAGATGGCACTCTTCTAACTTTATGTGAGATCTTCCACGAAAGCCAGAGCCCATGTAGCAGTAACTCATGAGGCTACATGTATCCTCAATGAATATTCACAAACACTACTGCCGATATACCAAGTCATTTTGTTCATTTCTCATTAGCAGAAGCTCTTGGGCGGTTGACAAAAAGCTGAAAAGATGCCAAGACATCTGAGCTTCTCGCGGTCTCACTAAGTGAGACGCAAATTGCCAGTCTTCTGTCGATGGAAGAGAACTTAGTAAGACAACTCACCGCTTCGATCGCAATCGTCTTAGTCTCGACTACATGATTGGATGCTCTTCCCAAAAAGCAGCATGGTAAACATAGAATGGCATGATCATAAACTAAGGGAGCTCCCCATGAGCCGTTTGCATTCCGGAGTTTTCACAATTAACGCCAATCACCGCGTTCCTCCCCGCATACTTCGACTGATCCAATCTGAATCCGCTAACAACAAGCGCGAGGAGCTGAAAATCTTCAGCCGCTCCACGAGAATTCGGTGGCAGTTGACCGTTCAACCCCTCACCCGCACCCGTAGTTGCCGGTGGGTGTCTTGCCGCATCTAGGCAAGTGGTGATCCACGGTTCGAACCTTGTCACGCTCGTCGACCTTGTTAGCATGGGGCTGTCTCACTAGAAGCGGGACGCGGCCAATCACTTCTAGCCCCTTGCTTGCCGGCCCGTTCCTTGGGCTAGGCCGACGGCTGACAGCATCAAACGCGGGCTGTTGCTTCGCTCACATATCACTCTTGTTTCTCTCCACGCAAGTGTTTGGTCTTCCCAAATTCCTCTGTGGTGCTTTGAAGATATCATGTCACCCTTCCAAAGATGCAGAAGACGGGACTTATGGTAGTCAGATTACCTGAGTACCATCCAGTAACTTTTAGATCGACTATGAAACATGAATATCTGCTAGTCGTGATTCTGATTCGAGTCAAGGTCCCCGAAGTGTATCCAGCAGATAGCTTGGTGGAATTCGTGGCGGTAAACATTTTCATCAATTCACGTTCCATGTCCGGTTGCGATTTTGAGTCGCAACGCCACGCCGTTCCAGTCCATAGTCATCACGGTCTCGAATGTATCCCTCCCCAGTCATCAGAAGACTAAGGGCTGAATGATCCGCGCACTACCTAGGTATTGTGAAGGCAAAAAGCTAGGCTTGCTGATATGATAACGCACCTATACGAATCTTGCTCAAAAGTGCTCATATCCCCTTTCTCATGAACCCCACGAAGCAAAGCCTATCGAGCAGGTTCTCATCATTTATCTTGTTAGCTAGCTTTCGAGCTGCCTCGCCAAAAACCCACTATGTTGGCCCTTCGCCATGTCTGGATCATTGTAACTGATGTTGCCAATACACTTTTCGGTTCACCCTTCTTCCGAGATGGACCTCAACACCACCTAGGAGCCAAGTTTAGCTGGTCGAACACCGACCTTGAGACCGCTGGACATGGTAGTCCCATCTTCGCGCCTCCTGGCAGCAACATTGATAAATTTGTCTGTGACTACAGCCAGATGAAGGGTTTCAAGCCATGCGGCACTGCAGAGGACCGAAGCTGTTGGCTTCGCAACTCGGATACCGGAGAAGAATACAACATCACAACCGACTATGAGGACAAGATGCCGCAAGGCATCACTCGAGTATACTACCTCAACGTTACGGATGGCTACATCAACGCGAACGGCCTGAACTTCACTGAAGCAAAGCTTTTTAACAACACTTGGCCTGGGCCTCTCATCGAAGCTTGTTGGGGTGATACTGTCGAGATCCACGTTCAGAATCTCCTCGTCAACAATGGAACCAGCATTCACTGGCATGGCATCAGACAGAATCAAACAATGCACATGGATGGTGTCAACGGAATTACACAATGTCCCATTGCTCCACAGTCCAGCTTTGTCTACCGATGGGATGCCACACAGTACGGCTCCTCGTGGTATCACAGCCACTACTCGGTTCAGTACGCCGACGGATTGCAAGCCCCCATTGTAAGTTGAGTCGTTCAATTAGTCCTACAATCTCTGCAAGGTTTGTGTGCTAATGAATTGACTTCAGACCATCCACGGACCAACATCCTTCCCGTACGACGAGGCTATTGAGCCAATCTCGGTGACTGATTGGGGTGAGTCAGGCTGAACCATTTGATGCCCGCATTGTCTGGCTCTATTGAGTTGATGCTAACTGATGGATTTTAGCGAATAATAGTGCATTCGAAAACATGTACATAAATGCAACCGGACAAGACATACTCCTGGGTGGCATCGGGAACATCACTCGATTCACTGGTGGAGGTATTGATAACACCACAGAAATTCCCCGTGGTTACGAGATCTGGTTCGATGACATCGAGCCCAACCCCTCGACGAGAGCAAAGCGGTACCTATTGCGCCTTGTTAACACTGCTTATGATTCAACGTTTATCTTCTCCATCGACAACCACAATTTCACTGTTGTTGAGGCAGACTTCGTTCCCATTGAGCCATTCAATGCAACTTCTCTCCTCATCGCCATCGGACAGAGGTATCATATTATCGTTGAGGCAAAGCCGGTTGTCGACAGTTCGAACCCCGATGCTAATCCTCTGCCGGCGGATGGCAATTTCTGGATTCGAACCCAATTGCCAATGTATGAAGGCACAAATTTGACGAAAGAAGGCAACATTACTGTAGATGTGAACAACTACATGAAGACCGGCATCCTCCGTTACGACAGTTCCAGTACAGCAGACCCCACTACCACGGGTTGGAACATTAGCCTCGCTTTCTCAGACACGGACTTTAACAACAAACTGGTGCCGACTGTTCCTTGGACAGTTGGAATTCCGGCAAACGGCGGCGTCGGCGAACAATTCAACATCGCGGACCTACACAACGTAAGCAAAAGCGGACCATATGCGCAGGCCTTTTTCTCTTTCGAGCGACCGGAGAGCAAGGACGTGAACCCCTTCCAGACCGCATACGGGAACCCTACGTTCCTAAACCTCGACAATGTTGGCGATGAGTGGCCAACAGGATGGGTGGTCGTGCCGGAGAATTATACCGCAAAGGACTGGGTGAGTTTGATTGCACCTACAACACTCTTATTGAATCTATCACTAATTGGCATACTTAGGTTTATCTAGTTCTCAACTCCAACAACACCGACATAACCCACCCGACATTTGGTCCTCATCCCGTAAGTGGCGGTGACGTTAGATTTTGTCGAGAACCTTCAGACTAACTGCATTCAGATCCATCTCCACGGCCATGATTTTGCCATTGTCCAGCAGGAGGATGACAAGTTGTGGGACCCAGCAGATTTCAATCCCAACACAAGTAATCCGCCCCGCCGTGACGTGGTACTGCTTCCCAAGAGCGGCTATGCCGTCATTGCCTTCAAGTCCGATAACCCCGGCGTGTGGTTAATGCATTGCCATATTGCCGGCCATGCTTCCGCTGGCCTGTCTCTCCAGATCATGGAACGACAAGCTCAGGCTAACGTCATTTGGAGGCCCGGAAGCTCTCCAGCCCTAGATGAGGCCCATACTCTCTGTGCAAGCTGGAATACTTGGGCGTATGACTGCAAGAACTACTGGCCTGGCAACCTGGGTACCGATGAGAAACCAGACTACCCTGCCTGCGCCAATGCCACCAACCTTCAGAACGATTCTGGAGTTTAGGCGAGGACGAGCACACTGAGAGGATAACAATGATTAATTCAGTCCGATGAGACAGTTTAATGATAATGTGGGGGACGAGAGAATGGGAAGGGCAAGAAGAAACGGTATAGGAGCATGCTGAAGAGTCAACAAGAGAGGAGTCTTGAGAAGAAATCGGTAAAGATAGCAACATGATTGGTGTCCAAGATTCCGGTGGCTAGCAGCCGTGGCTGATGTGGGCAAGACAAACGGTAGCGACAGAAAGGCCATTCAACCCGTTCCACCGAAGCAAACAACTTAGATTCGTTCTCATTGTCCTCTCAGCTCCCCCGCCTAGGCGGACTCATGCAGCCGTTGAGCCAATCTTCCAGCAAATGCCAAGCTCACACATGACCCGGCCAATGGGCATATTGCCATCGTATTCTGGTGTGGTATGCGACCCGGCGGCACGGTAGTCGCGTGGCTTGTCCAACGGGCGACGACCAACGGACAAATCTGATGGTGGCGTTCTGGGTCTGCGCTGTTGAAAACGAATGTAAGCGCTGACGCCCAGAACAGATATACGAGTGAGCGGCACTTTGTCCAAGGGACGCCGTTGAAGACAGCCTTGATTTGTCTTTTCCAGTCTGATCATCCCACGTCGCGATATCAGAGCAACGACAGTGAGGTGACAGTAAGCATGGATGAGATGTGTGAGTTGGCAGTGGATGCTGTTGAGTGGGTGTCTGACTGGTCAACTCTTTTGCCTGCGACGGGGTTCCCGGGGTCGAATGCGATGAGAGTCCTTCATGACTATCTTTATAAACCCCTACAAGAGTCACGACACGAAGTCAAATTCTCGTCCGAGACTCAGCAGCACCGGTCCAATTCGCCTATGATGCCATTCACAAAGTTCGCGGAGCTCCCTCCCGAACTCCGCCTCAAGATCTGGGATGAAGCAACAGCCGGACCGTCGATACATATTTTTGACGTCTGTTTTGCGTCCTGGCGCGGTACCGATCGAAGCAGACGGGCTTTCCAATCCGCAGACGGCAAGATTTCAGAGCAGAACCACGCCAGATGGACAAAGTACAGAGAGTGTGTCTTCTTGGACGCCCTTGAAACGGGTCCGGCGGAGCTTGCGCGGCGGACGAGGATTGCGAGACACATGCATGATCCATCCGTATACAAACAACGGCAAACGATGCGGTTAGTGTGTTCTGAAGCCTCGGCGGCTGTGGAGAGGCGGTTGAGGGGGACGAACTTGAACTCCGTCTACCTCCCCGGTCGGAACCAGAAAATACACTACGACAACGAAGAAGATGTGCTGCTGTTGCGTTTCGGAGACGGCGGTGCCCTCACGGATCTCTGCCACGGGGTTTTGTCTGGCGAATATGAGGCGTCGGGAGTGAACAACTTGACCGAGGTGCTTGAAGGGCCGTGGAGCGCCGAGATAGCGGAGACGTTACGTGATGCGCGACTCATCGCTTTGGATATCGCGGAGACGTGGACGCCGGCAACAGTTGGGGCGGTGGTGTTTGAAGAGGTGGCGTACCTGGCATGTTGTATACAACGGGGACTCCGAGTGCTGTACTTGGTCGATCACTGTCACGGCCGGTGTACTCGATGCAAGAAACAGGATATCACGAGATCTCAGCTCCAGACCCGCGGCGAACTATATTACCAGCTTCACAGTCGAGACAGAGATGCGGCTATATCACGGGTGGCGGACGTAATCCATGGCGTGGGAAAGACGTATCGGGAGGTGTTTAATTTGGAGGGCATGGGTTGGTCGGACGAGCACCCGATCTACGTGTCTGCGAGGGTTATGGACGAGATGATCAGGAGCCAGCAGACAGACGCTGCTACGCAGGATTTCGAGGGAATCAGGGTGCTACTGGTGGAAGACGATGAGTTGGAGGGCGTGGACAACACGACGGTAATGGACTGTTATCCGGATAGCCGTTCAGAGGTCGCCAATGAGGGCGTGGACATGAGCCTGCGATAGTCGAGCTAGCGACGCGGGTGAGAACAAGAGACCTTCTCGGCGTAAGAAGAGCGAGATAAGCTGACTGACGAAAAGGTGCTTATTCCAGCTGGACCAAGTGGTTGGGTCGAATCGGCTGGCGTGGGGCAACGAGGAGATGATTTCGTCGAAACGACATATGTCGAAACTACTGGGAGGATGCGAGCTAGGGAGGGAGACCTTGTATTACTATAATCTCTGGACGAAGAGACGTTATTGACAACAATATGGCCGCCGTAAACATTGACAAAACGTGCTGAAGCCCACCAGTTTTTCTCTACTGGGAATACCTTTTGACGCCATACTATGCATATACCACGCAAGCTCAAAACCACACATACACGTATAATTACCTCGCTAGAAACTGTGAATTGGTTAGCAACAGGGCTTAGAACATGGAATGGTGATGATGGAGAAGGCCAGACTTACCGTATCTCATAGGAACCCGCTCTCGTCATGTACCGCACCCACTTGACGCTCGAATAGTTGCTCTTCTCGAACACCTTGAGGTACCTAACCAAGAGGCCTGAACTGGTAAACATCAACAAGCTAAAGTTGAGGCTCAGGGGCGGCCGCGACCAGGCGCGCTGATTCGTCATGCTCGTCAGGATGGCCTCGGCACTCAAGACAAACTCGCTCTGTCCCGTAAACCGCCCAATCTTCCACACAATGTTGTTCTCGCTGGGCTCGTACTTGGCCTTGCCCTGGGTGCATCGTTCCGTGATCTTAGCAGTGTTGAGCGGTGTAGGGATGCGGACAACGACGTTGGTGGCGAAGAGCTTTGCGCCAAAATTCGCCTTGATGCCGATGCTGTATTCGACCTTTGTGCGGCCGACCTCGTTGACGATGGCGTGGATCTTGAAGGGGAGGTTGACGTTCTCGGTGGCGCGGTAGCGCATGAGCTCGAACTCGCCATCGGGCGGGACGAAGGAGATGATGCGGTCGCTGTCGAACTTGCCCAACTTGACGCACTGGTGGAATTGACAGTCTTCGAGGGTGACACTGCCGGCGGCGGCCTTGGTGGCCTTTGTTCCCATCCTGTTTCCACTCGGTAGACTAAGGAGCCCGTCGTTATCGAGAAGTAGCCGGTCGTTAAGGCCGAACTTGCACTCTGGGGTACCGGAGAGGTAGGCGCGCATGACGATTTGACCCGTGACGTCGGCGCGGAGGACTGCTCCCGTGGCGGACATGAGAAGGTTGACGTCTTCGATCACGTCAACGAACGCCTCGTTCTTTCTGTACTTAACATCTGCCTTGCGCCACGAGAGCGCGCCTGTCGCCTGCATTGTAATCTTGGCCGAGTCCTCGGCGGCTCGTTCTGACTTGACGCCTTCGGTCGTGATGTACATCTTCAGGGTGTCGGTCTCGGTGTTTTGGGGGTAGCCAAAGTCAATGATCTCTGCAAGGCGAACGTTAGAAGGGGAACACTAGTAACACAGTCCATTGAGCCGGTGTGATGTGGCACGTACCGTCGAGCAGCTCATAGACAAGCACGAAGTTGTTCTTGACAGCCTCCTCATCAAACTTGCCAAAGTAGCCCCGTCCCAACGCAATTAAGCGATAGAGGAACTCAAAGACCAGCGCAGCATTCGCATTGCTCTTGGTAATAGCAACAAGGTAAATGTTCTCATGCTTTACGTGGCTGAAGGTGGTGCTTCCAAGGGTCAAGATGGGGGACCGGACTTGCGAGTTCGAGATCACTTGAATCCGGAAGACGTCGGCAAGTCTGGGCCTGCAATCGTTGCGAAAGGCGCGGAAGATGAGGTTCTCGCCCTTTTGGTTGAAGATGAGGATTCCAGACAACATCGTGGCGGGTCAGGGGATGAGGGCGCACGCGAGGGGAGCGACCACTGGGGATTGACGAGCGGACGGAGAGACGGGAGGGCGCGTTGTGGTGAACAGTAGTAGAGCTGGTGGGATGGGTGTGTTGGTGATTCTCGAAGCACAGGATCGCGGGCGGGACACGGCGGGGACAGCGGCGGGAACTGGCTCGGTCAGCCGTCAGGGGAGCTTCCACTTTGCGACTTGGTCGAGGGGAACGGTTTCGGGACCGGCGGGAAATTCTGCCAGGCCCCAAAAGGGTCCGGGCGGTGAGCCTCGCGGTGGACCGGCGCTCCGTGCGGTGTGGGGCACAATGGTCCATGCTTCTTTACTTAGGTAAGCTCCCTGGAATCGCCTTACGTGATCCACTCACGTGCGGACTGCCGTCTTGACGTGTAACGGTCGGTACCTAGATACCTCGTCTTATGTAAGCACGGTGATCTGGACAGTGCCAATACATTTTCACACCTCCGCCCCGGTCGTCTTCCTCTTACACACCCACCGTCACCACCACAACCACCATCACGAGTCTCCGCTCCCTAAGACAACAACGTACGACCCTTATTCGTAACCGCATGCCTCTCTGATCTTCCGGACTGTTCTACGGATGGACTGCGATGTTGAGCACGGGACTGTGCGTCCGAAAGATGCGCGTCGGTACCATGAACCCTTGGCATCTCACCACCAAGAGAAGAATCTGCCTCGACATGCTCTTGTCACCACCCACCAACTGTATGCATAGCTGATAGTACACGGCTCTCGGTTGTTCATCTCTCCTCGCGTCAATGCTATTGATATCAGCGGCTTGCAATGTTATGTATACTCTCAAGCAAAGCCTCTTACACCGGCCACCAATTGCCACCGTGGTCATGACATGAGGTTGCTGGACGTCCAAATCTCGACGAAACGTCAATTTGGATCGTTCCCGCAGGCGTGGGAACCCAAGATTGAGGGCCGATGGTTATTAGGTAGGCAATCAGTATTGATTGCTTCCGCTCTTGACACTCATTAACCTCATTAACACCAGACAGGTCCGAGTACCACAGCACCACCATCGACGCGGTTCACCACCACACAAACCCCAATTTCTCCAACTCGCTTGTCGTCCCTTGCGTCTTGCGTCTTGCTTCTTGCCCTCTTGAGTGCGGCTCCGACGAATCGCCACGATTATTCCTCTCTTCGCTGACGGTACCTGTCTCTGTACCTGGAGCCAAGCTACTTTCGCTTCGGCTTTCGATCCGCCAACTTCGCATCCCGTGACTGGTTACCTCTGTCTTTAACCTACACTTTCCGACACGTTCGCGATGCACTTCTCCGTCTTTAAATTAAATGGCATAGGCACGCCACTGCCACTCAGCGTTATCTCGGGCAACGAAGCCGCCTTTCCAATCGAGAGTTTGCTGGATTGCAACTTGACCGGAACGATTTAAAGAGCTTCCCGACCCCTCATGGCACCCTCTTCAACGGTCCCCACATCCATCACGCCCCCATGACCAACGCGCTCTTCCCTTCGTGGCTAATATGGAGCGTCGCCTCCGAGATGACTTACACTCCGTTACATCCAATACGCAGTTTGCCCACACCTTGGCTGGCGGACTTTTACTCCTTGACGCCATGGAATATCGATGGTGGCCGTAGTTTGCTGCAACCGCAAGCAATTCATGGCTCCATGCCCAGCTTTAGGGACCTGGTCCAGCATGCCGTCAACCAGGCGATTCCATGGTTCAAGACCCGTCCTTCGGATGTCTCTTCCATATCCCCATAGACCCATGGTAACGATGGCTCCCTCGGCTTGGTCTGCTCTCTTGACGCTTTTCTCAATGGAGTAATCAAGCTCAAGATGCCGCTGCTTCACTCCGCGATCGTGGGGCAATGCCTCTCTCCCGCCGGCAGCCCAGAATAGGCCCAGCACACATCCATCCCGCCGTTCCGAAAGGCCAAGCGGTGTGTTCAAGAGATCCGAGTCCTCAACTCAGGTTGGCAACATGATAAAAGGACCATGTCCCAGGTCGTTCATCATCAGCTCCAGACTTGCAACCCACGGACATCATCCTCTCCAGAGTCAAGTCAATATCCCACAACAGAAGCAACCATGGCTGCTCGTGCGTTCCTCACTGCTGCTCTCTTGGGCACTGCAGCTCTTGCCGTTCCCATCGAGGAGAGGCAGTCTTGCGGAGCCGTCTGGTAAGTAGGATATGCAGCTTGAACGAGGAAAGAATCTGATTGGTGACCAGGGCACAATGCGGCGGCCAAGGCTTCACCGGCCCAACGTGCTGTGCTTCTGGCAGCACTTGCGTCGTCAACAACGCTTATTACAGCCAGTGCTTGCCCGGCAGCGCCTCGTCCGCCAGCTCTGCTGCCGCTTCATCGACTGTTCGCTCTAGCTCTTCCGCAGTCGTTAGCCCTTCGCGAACCTCGACAACCGCCGGGGCCGGTACCACTACCACGCAGGCCGGAACTGCCACCACTAGCGCTCCCGCGGTCACCGGTGGTGCGACCTACACGGGCAATCCCTTTGCCGGAGTCAACCTCTGGGCCAACTCATACTATGCCTCCGAGATTACGACTTTGGCTATCCCGTCACTGAGCCCTGCTTTGCAGACGGCGGCTGCCGCCGTTGCCAAGGTCCCTACCTTCATGTGGATGTAAGTTATCTATGCTACGTACGTCGGTGTTGAAGGCCTCCTTTTGCTGACAACATCAAGGGACACTCGTGCCAAGATTCCCTTGGTTGACTCCACGCTGGCCGATATTCGCAAGGCCAACGCCGCTGGCGGCAACTACGCCGGCCAGTTCGTCGTCTACGATCTTCCCGACCGCGACTGCGCTGCTGCCGCCTCCAACGGCGAATACGCCATCGCTGACGGTGGTGTTGCCAAGTACAAGGAGTACATCGACGCCATACGCACTATGATTCTCAAGTACTCTGACATTCGCATTCTCCTGGTGATCGGTATGTGTCTTGTCTCGCACCCACCAAAATCTGCGTTTCCTAACTTTCTCGTCCAGAGCCTGATTCCCTGGCAAACTTGGTCACCAACCTCAACGTTGCCAAGTGCTCCGGTGCCCAGGCCGCCTACCTCGAGTGCACCAACTATGCTGTCACTCAGCTCAACCTGCCCAATGTCGCCATGTACCTTGATGGCGGCCACGCGGGTTGGTTAGGAGTAAGTTTTCACCGCGCCACGCTCCATACATGTTCTACTGATCTAATATACTTCTCCAGTGGGCTGCAAACTTGGGACCCGCCGCGAACATGTACGCAAAGGTCTACAAAGATGCCGGCAGCCCCAAGGCTCTCCGTGGAATCGTGACCAACGTGGCCAACTACAACGCATGGAGCGTTAGCTCCCCGCCTTCCTACACCTCAGGTAAGTCGTACCCATCCAGATTTTTAACGTTTCCGTATCTGACTGGCCTAGGCAACTCCAACTATGACGAGAAGCACTACGTCGAGGCTCTCCAGCCCCTTCTCGCGGCTCAGGGATGGGACGCTCACTTCATCGTTGACCAAGGCCGCTCTGGTAAGCAGCCCACTGGCCAGTTGGCTTGGGGTGACTGGTGCAATGCCATCGGCACCGGTTTTGGTCTCCGTCCCTCCACCAACACAGGCTCATCTCTTGTTGATTCTTTTGTCTGGGTGAAGCCTGGTGGTGAGAGTGACGGCACTTCCCTCACTACCGCCACTCGCTACGACTACAACTGCGGCAAGGAGGACGCTCTGAAGCCCGCTCCTGAGGCCGGAACTTGGTTCCAGGCCTACTTCGAGCAGCTCCTCGTAAACGCTAACCCTGCCTTCTAAGTGCTGTTCAATTTCTTCTACAAATATGGCCCTGGGCTGCAGACGTCGCGTTCTATTTATCTTCGTGTATATAGTTCACCTACTTAGAAGATGAATCTTTTATAAACTGTCGAACCCACTTGGCTCTCCTGCTCCGTGCTGCTCGGGTAGTCCGTCTTCAACCCGGAAGGACTATGCTTGCTGTGTGGGTCAACCACCGATCATAGAGAGGAAAGCATCGGAGCGCCGTGCCGGTGTCTTTTGGTCCGTCTAGGTCCCGAGATCTAGGACTGAACCCTGGGTACCTGAACTGGTACAAACTCGGTTGACCTGATCGGAAAGATGCCGCTATAAAAAGCTCGCCCCTCAGCGCTTCCCCTCCCTTCTCTTTTCTTATGGTTCTTTCATGATAGCTCGATGCATCCGATTTCCTCTCAAATCACCCCCAACGTCCGATTACGCAGGCCGCCAAGCCTATATAGATGTGGATAGCCCTTCTCTTGGCCCTCCTCTTTACACTTACACTTATTTGGATGTTTTATCGCATTCCTTGGCCTCTTAAGGCCCTCCGCAAGCGACACAAGGAGAAGAAATCTGCAACGAAGGGAAGCATACCGGTAGCCTTCCCATCGGGTTCCGATGCAGAAGCCAAGACACAGGGGTTGTTCGCCGTATGAATTCCAAAAACCTTCTCGCTATATCTTCTGGATGTTCTATTCTGACTCGTTATCTGCGCAAAGGAACAGGATGCGATTCTTGGCGGCCAAGAAGCCCAGCAACCCAGAGATACTAGCCTCCCAGAAGCGAGCAGCACAAACGAAGCCGATAATTCGGCCCCATCTTCCGGGGTCGCTAAGCACTCGATACGGTCTAAAATCCTAATGACAATCAAGACAAAGTTGAAAGGAAAGGGGAAGAGCAGTGGAGTGCCCTTGGATCCTCGATCCCCTCCCTTCCAACCCTTTACCTCTAGCGCAGGCATGAGGCCTTCATGGCTAGATCCAGGAGAGGATACAAAGTTGGCAGATAGTAACCCTTACTCTGCCCGTTTACCGGTCATGACAGTAGATGGGACCGCCGTCTCGGGCTCTTCAACGCGACAAAGGTGGCAAGCCCCACACTTCCATATAAATAACGAATTGCCAACTCAATGGGTGACACCTCGACCTTTCGATCCTACTGCTGTCCAGCCATATCGGCCCACGCCAGAGGGCCCCGCGGAGGCGTTTGCTTACAACCACGGCACCACCCCGGACAGGCTTCGAAAGCCATTATCAACACCCCTATCCTCGCCCTGCGTACCCCCATCTTTGCTCAGACCTTCCCACAACAACCAGCCAAACGTCTCGATAATCCAGGAATTCTCGTCTCCTAATCCGTCGTGCCAGGAAGAAGAAGAAGTGCTTCGACGCTTCATTAGGTTTGCAACGGGCCGTAGGTGTCCAAGATGCAAGCGTGGCGTCGCAATTGAGAGCAGCACCATCTTCCAACACGCCAGTGTCATTCTTCTAGGTCGAAAGACTATCGAACTGGGCAGCCATTATGTTAGATGCTCTTGCGGGATCTCATACTGTTTCGGCTGCTCCCGAATCGGAGATAATTTAAGGACGCCATTCGCCGGTTCCAAGTCGACCAAATGGTGCTGCCCCCCTGGTCGACTTTTCCACATCTTTGCTCTCCTGTGCGGCCCGACCGCCCACGCTGCAAACTCGCGGGTCTCTATCTTTCAAGACTCCCAAGTGGACTCGATCGAGAAGCCCCCCAAAACCGAGAAAAAGTCCGGGTCGAGATTCAAGAGCTACTTCAAGACCAGCGATGACCAAGGCACATCTAAAGGAACGGGCTACGCAACGGGTAAGCTCGACAGAAAGAAAGAGAAGCCCGATGAACTCGCCTGTATTCGCCGCGAAGACCTTGAGAACAGCATGGTCCGGTTACCCAGGCTTTTCGCCGCGCTTTCGATAGCATGGCCTTCAACTTCCAACTACACTCAGTTTGATCGAAATCCTCCACCGTTGTTAATGGTCATGGCTCGCCGAAGCCCGCTGATGATCAGGATGGCAGAGCTTCTTCGGAATGATAACATGCAAGAGATTATGCGGCAACGAGGTCCATACCAAGCCCTCTTCGATTTCCTTCACGTGCTCTCAGCACACCCTGCTACAACCCCGCTAGTCTGTGATGTTCGAATCAGCTATCCTCTCGCCCGCACTCTACTCCCGGTCTGCTTCGGATATGGCCCTCTTCCAGTTTTAGACAGGTCGTCTAGCTCCAGTGACGATGAAAAGGGAAAGGGGAAAGCGGTGGAGCTTGAAGAGAAGCAGGACCAGCCTCAAGAAACGCTCAAGTCGTTAGTGAGTCTACTTTCTGCCTTGAGAGTCCAGGCGGAATCGGTGAAGCGACTCTACAAACCCAGCCCCGGGGGTCTCTCCCAGACGATAGTCATGTGCGACCGTATTTGCGAGATCTCCCAACAACTCGAAGGAGAAACCCTCAAGAAAGACAAGAGGGAAGTGACTATTGACGAAGGAAGCAACCCTCCCTCTCTGACTTACTCACAATCGACCGTTTCGTCAGTGGGAGAATCACCCACCATTCCCGATGACAAGGAGGAGAGACTCACAGCCGCCCGGCAATGGCTCATCGAGAACAAGGTGCGGGAGATGGATTCCGAAAGATGGCAAAGTGACTTCAAGATTCCCATCCCAGACTCGGAGGCCACCGCCCCCCGCCGTATGAAGAAGCTCGTGATGGAGCTCTCCATGCTGCGTACCACGCTGCCCGACGGCATCTTTGTTCGCCACGACGACACGCGGTTGGACGCCATGAAGGTCCTCATCGTCGGACCGGAAGGTACGCCGTATGAGAATGGGCTCTTCGAGTTTGATCTGTTCTGCCCTCTCGATTACCCAGAGAGGCCACCTAAGATGGTCTTCAGAACAACGTACAGCCGTCGAAAGTTCAACCCGAACCTATATTCAAATGGCCAAGGTACGAAAGCCCCCTTTGATTTCTCCCCTGCACTATATTTTCGTGGACCATTGCTAACTCTTTGCCAACAGTCTGCTTCTCCCTCCTCGGCACCTGGACAGGCAGCGCCGCCGAGAATTGGGACCCCAAGAAGTCCACCCTCCTCCAGCTCCTCGTCTCCATCCATGCCATGATCTTCAGCCCGGACCCGGTCTGGAACGAACCCAACCAGGCCTTTTCCCCGGCAGCCTCGCTGGTTTACAAGACGGAGATGCGCGCCGACACCCTCATCTACGCCATGAGCCACTGGCTCCATCTGCGCAAGAACGCCCACCCGGCCGCCCAGTATAACCCGTGGTTCGAGGTCGTGGCCCGCCACTTTGAGGTAAATTGGCGACGGATCCTCGAGACGGCCGAGATCTGGGCCGCGGAGGACCCGGGAAGCCAGCGCAAGGCCGAGAATGAGGTGGGCATGATCATGAGGGAGAGACGCTCCAAAGAGAGGTTTCCCTGCGGGATCCGGACGCTAAAGGGGCACTTTGCCGAGTGGGCTACTTCCGAGGAGGAGCTGGCGCTCGTGAGGCTTGGTCCCGAGGATGATGGCCCGATCTATACACCCGTAGGAATGCCCTTGGAAAATAGGCTTGATCTACACTTTGACATGTCTCCGCCCATGTCTGACACCGACGGCGAAGACGAGTCCGATGGAGAGTTTAATCTACCACCAGCGAATAGCACGCCCAATGTACCGCCACCCGTATCTCACCCTCAACCGGAGTTTCACCCTTTCCTACCTTATATTCCATAACTCCCTCTAATGTCCGTGGGTTCGATTCGTATTTGACATGTTCTCAAAGTTGGTAACTCGGACATGGAGACGATTTGGTGGCAATTAGGAGATGTTAAGCGCTGGTTGGATTGTAATAGTAGGCAAAGTCAAGTTCGGAACTTACCAGGAACACAGGAGATTCGGTAAAGGAATCTGCCAAATACAGGCTCTTTATAGGCCACAGTATGTGCCCTGTCGAGCACCTTCAAATAACACAATATACCCTATACCACAGATCTGAAGTAGCGTGAATCAATGACCAGATATCCCCGACGAGCTCAGTGGTGTGTTATGGTGTTCTTCGTGTGAGAGTTGAAGCCTGGCTTAGCAAAGGAGGGGAGCAAACATGACAGTATAATCAACCTGTGTCGGTATCAAGATGCCCAATCACCACGTCAACCTGTGATTAAGCTTCGAGTCCCTGCCATGAAGCTCTCCAATGCATCTATGTATGCCGGCAGACCTCACAATTGCCCCGCGCAACCTGCAGCAAACCGCCGGAAAGCCGGGGGCGCGTCTACTGGGTAAATGCTACATGGTCCATGGTTCATGCGCAAGCTTGCTGCGGGAGTTTTGGACAACAAGCTTGACCATGATACACAAATTGATAGAGGGGGCATCGCGAACCGCTTTTTCGGCATTATCACCGCAGCCGCTCGAAAACCTTGACAGCGCTTTACTGACGATCAGCAGAGTATCAAACTCGGGCGAATCCTGGGACGTGCCATGGGGGAATGCTCGTATCGCTAGCTGACCGCCCTTCGTCACGACTCAGTTGGCTCGACCCGGCAGCTAGCGACGTGCGCCTCAGTGCGGGCGACCCAGTCCTGAAGATAACAAGGCGTAAATTCATCAGAATGATCAGATTGAGAGAGATTAGCTGGGGAGGAGTTGTGGGCACACAAGCGAAACTGTTTCGAACTGACAACAACCTTGTTGATGCCCACCAGACACGACACAACGTCGCAAGCAAACACGGCTGACGTGCGGTTGGGGATGTTGGCTGCAGGGGCCCATCGAGGGCACTAAACGTGTCCCCGAAGCGATGATACACCTCAAAGTGTGCCACTTGTCAAGGAGCTGATGGGTGCGATTGCTGTCTGTACAGGAGTCCGAGCTTGATCCTCGGTGATAAATCAATGTCGGGCCCAAAGAATCGTAGCTTGTTGTCGACTCTGATTACTCGCCGACGTTCGAATCCATCAGCATAATACGCAAAAGCTCCATCGTCTCTCGAAGCTGCTCACCGACCTGAGCGAGCTTCATTCCGAACAAGCCTTGACTGTAGATAGGCCCCCAAGATTGTGTAACCAAACTGCGGGATACCACGTGGAGGAGGGACTCGGACCGTTTGAGTGGGTGGCCGTTTGTCCCGGCTTCCCAACGCGTACGGTGTACCGTGGTGATTGCCCCAGTCAAATATTTGGAGCAACTTGAAGCTCCAGCGATGCCATGACTCGAGTCTCTGGTGTCCGTTCTGGACCTGTTGGATAAGCCGCATGCATACAGCTTTCCGAGTCGAAAAACCACAAAGCTTCGTAGGGATATTCGGTATAAGCATGAAGTCTATATGGGAGTCATGGGACGGGATTGTCCGGAAACGATCTTGATTGGGACCAGCATGCTTAGTGAAACCCGACGATGGAAACCTTCACTCAACCAGGCCGGCCTGGCAGATTGTGATGTCCGAGAACGCTCTACGGCCGAATGATTAGGGAGATGAGGAGTGATTGACAGGCTCCCAAAGATCAATCACATGGCCTGATTCATGAAAAGTCTGCTGGGTGACTGTCACGATTCATTGGAAAGATATTTCGAAATAAAGCTTCAGAAAGACCAAGATACTGCAAAGTCAAATCCTCCACGGCAGGCAACAGTCGACAACGGCAGCGATATGGTTGGCCACATTGGTGATAGGAACGTGTCGTCCGTTGAGAACCCATGTGGTCCACGAGTTCCAGGTGAAGTTTAGCGGCCAGGTAAGGGTGCGTCTGCCACGTGCGGTGCATGCAGCAGCAAGGTACAAGTCGATGGAGGACGGGGGATGAGGGGAAACAGCCATTGGCGTGTTTGGTCAGGCCAGAGTCGCATCGAAAGTGGTCTGAGAAGTTGAGTCTAGTGGTGATGATGGCGCGAGAAGGTGGCCAATATGAAAACGATACCTAGCCCATCCGAATCGCTGAGACGAGCCTCGTGTGCCTACATCTCAGACAATGATTGCCATTCCCGTGCAGTAGGCAGGTCGAGAAACACGAGGGCATCGATCACAGTATGATGGAACTGCCGGAGGTGGCTGGTCTCGCAAGATGCCGATCGACAGGATTCAAGTCTAACAAGCGTAATCGCCATTACTTGACCGTTTTCAATCATGCCTTGTGGTCATGGAGCTCGTCGGTCCCGAAGCCAAGCCATCATGAGCGCCATATCCAAGATGGAGACCCCGCTTGTGAGGAGCTAAGCTTGGTGCCCGAGGGCGCTGACGTTGGCGGCACTAATACGGTGTCACACAGTCGACGGAGCCGGGAGTACTGCTCAGTCTGTTTGTAGATGTCCGTAATTATCCTCTGGCACTGCCGCCCCAAGGCGCGAGGGTGATGATATCCATGATAGGACTTTGACGGGGGTTCTCAGGGTCTTTGGGCCTGTCCAGGCCAAGAGGATCGGCATTGACTTCAAACACGAAAGTGGACGAGGGCGAGAAAGAACTTAGGTACGACTAGGCCGAATCGAAAAACAATCGCAACATCAAAAGCCACCGGCTGTTTGACAGTGGCTGAGACAGGACAGGCTGGCTGGTGGTTGGCTGAGCCTGCACGTACGGCCGGCGGTATCAGTCAGTGGGCGTCAGTTCGTACGATTCCGCCGGTAGCTCGAAGCCAAATTCTCGCAATTTAAAACCATGGTCCAACTTTTTGGTGAGAGAGAGCTGCTGCTTAGTTCTGTCACTAGACGGATGCGATGCCGATTTCGTGTCCCAAGGACTCTGGGCGTAGGTAGGCCATTCGCAGGCCCGACTTGAGGGGGAGGCCCGAACTCAATCGATGCAGTAAGTGACACGTGGAATTGGCGATGCGTTCCTGGACAAGTGCCTTTGAGGTGCCCAAGTACCTTATAATGGTGAGGTCAAGTGGGTGTGAGGTCGAGGGGGCAGCCGAGGCGGAGTCTGGAGAGTACGGTATTGATTTGCCTGTCGTTGGTCTAATGGTTGTTCGGAGGGGCTCTCGGGCCCCTTGGAAAGCCATTCAAAAGGTTGGGACTAAAGGCTGCTTGCAACGCGAAAAGAGGTGTGACGGACGGACCGTAATTATTGCTGTGTGAGTGCTCACGGTTGGACCGCGACTGTTAGACGCGTGGTGATCGGCTCGAGTGGGCAGCGTTTTGCCGTTTGGTTTCTCGTTCGAAATCGGTAATCACGATCCCTGTGCATCTGGCCCCTTTCCTCCCACACTCGAGTTGATCATATTCGCCTGAGCGGCACCTCTAGCAAGCCTCCCTGTGCGCCAGTGTATTGTGGCTCCGTACCCCTGTGGGAATTCCACCCCTTCGTGGACGGTGGACAAGACTCGGCCGTTGGCCAGTAGGCTGCTTACAGGTTGAGGAGGCGAAGAAGATTGGCAAATCGGGTAGAGCGGTGGTTTGATAAAGAATAGGACGTGGTGAAGGTATGGTACCGGTAGAAGACTTGAAGGCGGCGGCGAGGGCGGCTGGTTTTGGCAAGCGAGTTGACTGCATTCTGTCGGTGTTTCTTTGATTGGCACACATGTTTCTTCAGCTGTTGGCCTGCAGGTCGACGCAAGCGGTCGAAAAGAGAAGACTGGTGGTCAAGTCAGACCGGTGGGCGGAGGCGACGACGATAACCCAAGGGCCAAGGCAAGGCGAGGCCAAGGATCCAGTCAATGGGCGATTTTTCTTCGGAATAATGCAGAGATTGAACAGGGGAAGCCTTGAACAGTCTGTGCCGTGCCGACGCCAGGTTGGCCCTGGAGGGAAGCGGGATGTTTCTGCATTGCATGGGATGTGGGATTGAGATTTCTCCCGATGCTGTCTGGTTGAAGTCAAGGTTTGTGGGCGAGATGGAAGAAACAAGAGATCCGACGTGAAAAGAAGGGACGGCAACCATTGCAGTACCTCACTGTGTACCTACCTTGAAGTAAGTTAGGTACCACGGAGGCCACGGAGACGGGAGAGGAAAGTGCAGCGTATTTAGGTTGAACTTGGTGTGTCATGATGAGGGAAGGAACCTAGCCTGGGCCTGCCATGGTTTACCTCTCTCCCGGTCATGTCATTGTTCGCGTTGTATGAGTGAGAGTGAGACTGAGACTGAGCGTGAGATCAAGAATGAGACTCATAGTGAGCTGAGACGCGCCTCAACTGCTCTGCACCACACGAATAGTTTAAAAGGGTGCAGCGAGTTACCTCATCTACCGGTAGTCTTGTTACTCCTACCGGTATCCATACATTATTTTGCATTTCAATGCGTACGAACATCTGTTTTTTATCGAGGTCATCACTTTGTAGAATTAGAGGGCCGCAGCACCAAGCTATTCGCAGGCTCAACCTGGTTGACTGATTTCGGTACGCTGGAACATGACACTCTCATATGTGTTGTCTTATGCACAGCTCATGACCTCTGACTCTTCTGCGGCCCGTGTAAACATGATTCGGAAGATGCTATGAAGGGGGGCGCCCCGGAGAGCGTCTTGTCTTGCAGAGAGGCGTTGAATACCTAAATAGACCACGGGTATTATACCAATCTAGTAGATGAGTGCCGCAATGCAAGTATGAGCGAAGCTGCAGCGCATATTCTGATGCGATGCGATGCGCTGTGATGTGATGCTCTCATGCCCAGCTACTGCGTATCTATATCGCAGAAAGACGTATCTGCCTGCATCTCTCTCGCAGACTCGCAGTCGCGGTACACGTCTCACGTTGTTGATCGGGCAAAACGGCCATGAGAGACATGGATTGGCCCTGCTGTCAGGCTCACTCAACACCCCTCGCCGTGCCTGAGAGTGGGGGAATGCATGAGAGAGGTCAATGTTCATTCGTTGGTGAAGGAGGACCAACCCCCTGTCGCTTCCTCCCCTCCTGATGACCTGATCCCTGTTCTGCACATGGCTGCTTCCTCCTTTCTGCTTAGCCCATCTCAAGTGACAGTAGCGCAGGTGCTTCTGCTGCAGGTGCAAGTCGGAAGTCCAGCATTCTTTCCTCCAGTAATCCGTACGTACCTAGGTATCTATCTATCTGTAGACCAGTCAACCTGAAGCAGTCACAAGTGCCATTCTCCTTCCTATTGATGGTGACTTCCTGCCGTGCTTTCTACATACATAATCGATTTGGGGTGAAGGCGCCCCTTCTCAAATACCTACGTACCTACCTGAGGTAGGCCCTACCTCCCTCTCTGGGCCCCCTTTTCGAGGTATCTAAGGTAGGTAGGAACCTGTGTCATGTACTATCTCCGTGCCTGCCTCTAGGTGCCTTAAGGTACCTTATCAACCTGACATCCGACGATCATCACCTCGAATTATTGCGCACCTGAAGTCCCGGAGGGAAAGTGCAGGGAGTACGCATCTACTTGCCGTGCTTTCCAGGTGCCGGGCACGGAGCCTGAGGGGGATGAGAGTGAACAGTCAAGGTAAGGTAGGCCAGGAGAGAAAGAGGTACCTACCTTACGGATACCTTACCTACCTTACCGTACGTACTCCTGTCAGGTACCTCCGGCTGGGCACTAAATGGTGAGAGGTGAGAGGTCAGAGGCAAGGAGAGAAAGTGTGCCTGGCCTGGCCTAGCCCGCCTGCCCGCCTTCTCCAGGTGGCCTTGCTTAGCGCGTCCCAGGCTCCGTCCACTCCCGGCCTCCGTCTCTCAGTCCAGTCCCAAACCCCCAGGTCGGGCAGGCGCACTACACTACTCCGTACAGGATCCTGTCCAGGAGAAGACGTGGAAAGTGCAGAGGGCAGCAAGAAAAAAAAGGCAGGCGCAGATCCACAGCAGTGTGCCTGCCTGATATTATTTCCGTGCTCCCCTCCTGCCGCGACTTCCCAATCTGCATCTGGACCCGTCCTCCGTCCTCCGTTCTCCTCTTCGTCTTCCCTCCTCCCAATTAACCCAGTCCCTCCTCCGTCATCAATCAACCACTCGCTCCCTTTTTTCTGCTTTTTTTTCTGGACCACCGCAAAGGTTCAACGTCCACGATACTACCTCAAGGCTCAATCCCCCCGGTGCAGACCCATCGATCGTCCCCCCCGACCGACAAGTTCGCCTCCATCTCGCCTCCGTGTAGAGTAGACAACTTCGCTCCTCTCGAGACACCAACCCGCCAACCAAGGACCTAGCACAAAGCCTGCAGGTGCCTGATTTTCCGCAATCCTGCTCTCCCAGTGACCTCACAGAGCTCGCCAAACTTGACTTGCAACCGCTGTTCCATTCAATCTTTTGACGCCAACGGTCCAACCCACACGCGCCCACACGCATACCCCCGAAGCGAACGGAGGACGCACCAAGGAACGACTGAAGTCGCTCACGGCCGCCCTCACCTTCACGGTTCACGGCCACGTCCACCGGAGACCGCTGCCTTCCTACCGCACCCACTGCCGCTGCCGCTACCGCTGCCTCTGCCGCAAAGAGCACCGTGTCCAGCAGCAATCCTGCACCTCACTGCAGTCATCCCAATCTGCCAAAATCCAATCCAGTGCCAATTCCCTTTCGCCCTGTTCGGCTCGCCTGCTTGCCTGGTCCGACAGTCGTGAAGCAAGCCCCGGCCTGTGGAAACTCGAACCATAGTTGAGACTGGACGGCCACATCGACACGAACCTTTTTTACGCAGGGATCTCGCCAAACCCAAAAAAAAATCAACACAATGCCTACCTCGCTCGATTCTTCTCGTCCCATCATGGCTCCCTCTGTACGTTTGTTTCTCTCCTGATGTTGCCTTTTTTCGCCCTAACTGCCCTACCTGCATCTGTCTTGCGTCTGTTCTCACCTGCTTCGCCTCGCTCGCAACCGCCCCTGTGCCCTTTTTTGCACTTGGACACCGCAAATCCCGGTCCTCCCCCCCAAGCTACCCACCTATCCGATCTTGTTTGCCTTTCGACCCGTTCCTATCCAATCCTATTACTACCTCTCGCCGACCCTCCCTCGTTCACTTGAATCCTCCATCTGTGCCGTCCTCTTCAACCAAAGACCAAAATGACCGCAGTACTAACAGAAACCCCCCCTCAGGTGCGTACCTCTGTGCGATACAGCACATATAGCATGGCGCCCTCATTTGCCAACACCATTCAGACAAACGATTCGGCTCACGCCGAGATCACCGACATCGCTGTTGGCCTCGACCGCATGGAGAACAAGGCCCTCAGCTCTCAAAGGGTTACTCTGAGCGAGGAGAAGAGCGCAAACCTGAGCAAGCTAGCTCTGGGTGCCAAGTTGGAACGCGCGCTGGACAGGAGAATGAGCAGCCAGGATGCCGTCATGCGTCCGCGCGGCAAGACCTTGAACGAGAAGCCTGCTCAGGCTGCGTAGGAGACTGTCGAGCAACCTTTGACCTCGAAGAATTGGCCGTGGCAGGCCATGTTTACCGCACAACCCAAACAAACACAATAATCGGAACCAGACCGTCACGGGCCATCTGCCACACGAACACGGAACGACAGGAGTGGGATTCGCACCTAATGCTGTCCGGCTAGACAGCTCGCTGTAGCCGCGGACTCCATCGTACACCATTGCCCACGACGAGACGCGGCAGACGATACACCTTTGAGTGGATATACGGAGGGACAATGGATATGGGATTCGGATTAAGAATTGGGCATGGGGCCGTCGTGGAAACAGACAAGTTGTGACAAGTTGTGAAGAGTGATTTTGGTTTGTTGGGATATCCAGAGGATGACTGGAGCGCCAACGTCGCAATGATGGCATCCCATGCATAGTGTTTAAATGGTTTATTGCGATGCTCCGGCTGCGTTTACATATTTCCTACCCAGAGACGCATTACTCGCTGAGTCTATCTCAAGAGACTTGGGATCATGGTATGGGGGTTTCCTATAACGAAACTGGGATGTTCAGGTAGTGGTACCTATGGTATACTAGAAATGCTCAATGACCCAACCCACCCATATGTTCTCTGATTTCCAGCCTGATGTGTTTGTTCGGCGCGAGTGTCGCAAATGATGGATGCCGCATTGCTGACAAAGTTTGTAGTGGCTAGTAACAAACAAGCCTGTATCAAAAAATGAGACAACCTGCGCCAAAGAACAATCACAAATTCCTAGGGACTCTTCAAGCCGCCAAACCATTGCGTCTACCCGAGCTTTCCATCTCCATGCGCCAGGCGGCTCTCTCATGGGTCTTATGCACAGCCAAAGCAGGCCCGAGACTGCTTGGCCAGGTTCTTTGCCCCTCATTCCCCCGTCACCCGTTCTAGAACTACAAGCTGCCATACCCATATATCTGTGTATGAACATCCTTGAGTGCTTTGAGTGGAATGGCTCTTTACTCCCTCGGCGCTCGTATAGAACATGACCCCCCCTTTTTGATAGAAATCATACGTCTTTTCTTAGACTTACGCCTTCTCCAAACGGGCCTCAATCTCCTTGTACTGCGCAACGAGCTCGCCCTCCTCGCCCTCATACTCAAGAGCCTTGCCAACCCACTCCCTCGCCTCCTCCAACCTGCCCATCTCCATCAAACACTTTCCACGGCGCCACCACGCCTTTGCGTTGCCGACCTTGCGCGCCTCGACGCTAGCCTCGGCGTCAACAGACCCCTCTGCCCACTGCTGCAGCGCCATGTGCGCCTGCGCCCTGTTGGCGTACAAACCCGAAACCTCCTCGCGGACGAGCTGAGAGGGTTCCCAGAGCGGACGGGTGAGGGCCATTTGCAGGCCCAGAGTGTAGAACTTGATGGCGTCGCCGTACTTCTTCTTGTGGAACTCTGCGTTGCCGCTGTCGCGGAGCTTGGCGACTTGGGCGGAGCGTTTGGGGTTCACGGGCATGGGCGGCGGGGGCACGCCGTGCTGGGTTGTTGTGTCGGAGGTGATGAGGGAGCGGTGGAGGGCGTTTAGTTGGGAGAGCTCGGCGGCGAGGGCGCGCGAGGAGGAGGTTGAGGAGAGAGATTTGGATTGGGGGTCTAGTTGAAGGGGGAGGAGGTCGAAGTGCGTGAGGTCTGTCATGTTGGGCGGTAGTTGTGTGGTTGTGTAGATGTGGTGATGTTGGATTGGTTTGTCTGTGTCGTCGCAAGGTCGCGCGGGTTCGTCAGTTGTGCCTGTGGTACTGGGAGTATTCGAGTGGCCGCGTCCGGGTATCGTGAAGTGGTAGGGAGTGACGGATGTGAGGAGGGCTGCGATCGCGAACGAGGTGTTGTTGCGAGGGTTGCTTCGAGATGGTGGTTTATTGCCAGCTGTCGATCCGGGGGTCCAAGGTGGCTGGCCGACCCTTTGGCACATGGAATTAGAGGACACTTCTTTGGAGGTCACCCTTATCGGGTCCGGGCGCGCCATCACGTGCTGATAGCATAAGGCAAGGTGAGGTGGGTCTACCTTGATGACCGAGGCCCGCCTTCTTCACCTTCTTCACCTTGCTCACCTCGCTCACCTTGAGCCTCAGTAACAAGAACACTGAGGATTTGGGACTGTCTCTCTCGGCCGAGAAGTTGTCTTCCGTTTCGCCTGCAGGCCTACTCATGGGTGAAGTCGACTTTGGCTGTGTTTGTGGGCAAATTACAGTTGTGCCTAGTCTGGGGTCCATCCCAAACCGAGAGTTCTGAGTTACTCGGGGAGCTTTGCGGTCACCTCCATTCTGCCTGGCAGCATTTATAAAAAGTGTTCTTCTTTTCTCGTTATGGGTATCTTTAATGTTGAATGAAACCGTTTTACCTTCCATGTTGAAAGAAAGTTCGCGATGATGGATCCAGATGGGCCATCGAGCTCACCAGCCCGCCCTCCCCCTCACCCTTTCCTTGTCCCTTTCCCCTTCCAGTCCTCCAGTCTAGCCAAGGAGCCAAGGCTCCCCATCGAACTTCTCTAATCATCCTTGTAGGACTGACCTCAGATATTGTCACTTCTAGGCATAGTAAGACGTGTTCAGACCCTTCTCAACCGCCGCAATCTGCAACGCCAGCGGCAAGGAGAACTGTCGACACATCATGAAGCTGCCAGTCATGTACCAGAAACCAGGCACTCCAGTGGCTCGCCACCACTACACAATAGTCAGCATAACTCTTCCAAGCATTCGCATCATTAGACTTACACCTGAGCGTTCCTGCTCGGCATCCAAGTTCGCGAACCCATCTAGCCTCTGAACAACATCCGTCCCAAGCAGTTTCTCGACTGTAGTGATGTTCTGCTCGAAACCCGTCGCGAGCACCACCACATCCGCCTCGAGCTTTGTACCGTTTGCCAAGACTAGGCCATCCACTTGGAACTCCTTTATACCCTCCTCGCACCTCTGGATCCGAATCTTGCCGTCAATGATCATCTGGTTCGCCCCCTGGTCGATGTAATACTGCCCGCCCTTGATGAGCTGGTAGTCCGCCAACCCATACCCGTCTTCGCCCTCCTTAATCACCAACCCAGCCTTCTTCAACCCATCGTGCACCGTCTTGTCATTCTTGGCCATCGTCTGCGTCAACCCGATGCTCATCCTGCGTATCAGTGCCAGCGGGATAGCATTGCCCACAATGTCTGCTTCCTCAGTACTCAGACCCGGAATTGTCCAGAGTGAGAGCATGAAGTTCTCCCACGACTCGCGCGAGATGGAAAAGATTGGATGTCGCTGCACCATTGTCACCTCCTTGGCCCCATGCGTGACAAAGTCGGCTGAGATATCGTGGCCGCTGGTGGCACAGCCGACGACGACAACCTTCTTATTCGTTACATCCGGGATCTTGGCGGCAGTCTTGTGGTACTTTGAGTGATAGATTTGCCCCCTGAACATCTCTTGACCTGAGAAGTGAGGGATCTTGGGCTGGTCGCCGTACACGCCTGTGGCCAAGACCACATGCCGCGCCGACAACGTCCGTGTTCCCTCAGGCGTGCGAACCTCGACACGGTATCTCTTCTTCTCTTCATCATATGTAGCCTTTGTGACTTCCGTGTTGAAGGCGATGTCGAGTCCCATCAGCTGGCCGTAATGCTCCATGAACTCGGCAACCTTGTCGCCCGTCAGGAACCGCGGCCAGGTCTCGGGGATCTTCATGAACGCCCAGTGATCGGTGTAGGTCGGCGTATGCAGCGTGACGCTTTGGTATCGTTCTCGCCAAGAGTCACCAAGGCGTGCGCTGCGTTCTACGAGGCGGGTTTTGATGCCCATGTGTTGGAGGCGTGCGCCGAGCATCAGGCCGGCTTGGGCTGTTTGGTGTGTCTTGTGTTAGCGAGAGAGGAAGATGGAAAGCTGAGTATGAAGACTGACCTGCGCCGACAATCAGAACCTGCAGGTCTTCCTCGGGCTCTGCATGGGCGTGTCCATTGATGCCGTTGACTCGGTTGACCCCGTTGACACCATTAGTGACGGGCGCCTTTGGCGTCGGAACCGAAGCCGCGTGCCGTGCCTCGACTTCCTTCTGGAAATCGAGTTTCTCCAACTGCGTAAAGACAGTCCATGCCTTCCACTCGTCTTTGCTAGTGTTGCCTAGCTTGAGCAACCCCTTTCCTTCGCCATGCGGCGTCCGGAAGGTAAAGCCAGTTTGGATCCAGACCATGCCGTCAAAGTCGAGGAGCAATGGCTTCAACCCGCCAAGCTTGTTGGTCTGCAGCTCAGAGAGACCATGGTTTGCTGAGGCTAGGTACTTTTTGATGTTGTCTTGGCCTTGCTTGCAGGTGAAATCCCATGAAAGGCCGACGATGTCTCTCCACCAGCAGTCGTCGATGAACAAGTCGGAGATGTCGCTGAAAGACTTTTCGGCGAACTGCTTCTCGAGTTTGGAGAGCCATTCACTGGAAATCCTGTCCGCGTCAACTTCGTCCTTCTTAACGCCTTCTTGTAAGGTCAAGGCCGGGATTTCGGGGAGCTTGAAGCCGTCCATTTTTGTGAATTGTGCAGTGTCAAATACCGAATATTGAACAGCTTAGCGACTTGATTGACATTGACAGGATCGTATCAAATGCCTCGGGAAAAGAGAAATCAAGGCTAAAAGCCCATGTAAGTCAGATTTGGTAGGGAAGGACAAGGGTGTGGGAGCCTTTACTCGTGATCTCCAAACGCTGGGGAGATAGCGTCAGATAGCGTACCCGTCATCCATCAACCCACTTGGCAAATTCCCATCTCACCCACCATACCCCAAAATGTCAATGGGCAACCACTCAAATCGAGATGCGAAACGATTTCGTCCTCTTTTGTTCGGACCATCCCCACGGGTGGATCTGGCCAAGGTGTCATTGAGGTTCCCCATCTCTGTAACCTTACATTATTGCCAAGAAAGCCTGTTGCTGAAGATGACCGTACAACAGGCTGTTTTTACTCTTTTAGCTTTGAAGGAAGGATGGAATTGATGGATTAGATCATCTTATCTGATCATACCCCACCTTT